TGTCCCAACAGGGTAACTCAGTACGGAGTAATTCGCCCACCAACGTGCCCGCTTTGGGCCCTATTTGGCCTCTGTTCCCATGGCTGGCACGCTGAGGTGGCAGAAGTGTCACTACTCCCCGGTTAGCAGCAGGGCGTGTGACTAGGAGAGCCTGGCTTCTCCAGGTTTGAGGATGGTCCAGCGAAACTAGACAACAGAACTCAGGAGCCAGGTCCCTCCTAAGACAGCTCAGGAGAGACTCCAGCTGTGAGCAAGGATCCCCATGTGACCGGGACCCCAGTCACCAGGCCTGAGCAAGCCCATCGACAGACAGGAAAGACATCTAACTGGGCCCAGTTCTCCTGACAGCACCTGGCGCTATGTCCCCTCGGTAGACTTGGGCTCTGTGTAGAAGCTTATCCTTCATCTGCCTCGCCTGAGGTCCCTCACGCTGGTAGACTTGGGCTCTGTGTAGAAACTTATCCTTCATCTGCCTCGCCTGAGGTCCCTCACGCTGGCTCACTGAACAGGCGGACACACGGGTGGAGGGCTCACACTGTTCTTTATTTACAGTGGCTGCCTCGTGCCACGCCCTGTACAATGTCTTCCTTTAGCGGTACTCCACACTCGTGGGTAACCTGGTCCCCATGGCTATCTGTGCTCTCCCTACCCTCAGCGTAAATGAGGGCCCTGAGGAACAGTGGCTTCTACAGCCCATGCCCCACACCTGCCTGATTTCCCCCTTTCCCACGCTCTAATCAGGAAAAAGAGAAAGAAAAGAAAAACTCAGAAACCTGCAGATTGTTCGGAATTTATTCTCTTAAACACGAATGTAACATTTGTGAAAAAAACAAAAACCCAAAAAAACCAAAAACACCTTAAAGCACAACACCTTGGTCTCACAGGAATGGCAAAAACAAAGTTACACAATTAAATAAAAAACTCACAAAGCAACACACCAAAAAAAACCAACAAACTCACAATAGCACAGATTAAAAACAAGGGCAAATGAAAAGCTTTAGGGAAGGTCAGAGTGGACAGGAGAAGTGTTAAGTGTTCCTTGGCACAGCTGATCCTCCCCACTCTGGCGTCTATGTACCATACAGCTTTGAGCACTGTTTGCTGCCCCCGCTCCTGCCTCACCCCAAGGGAATGGCAGGGTGATTCAAAGTGAGTCCCTTACTTCACTGGCCAGTATTCAGTGGCACAGAGGGTCTAAGATGTTCCCACCGTGCTGCAGGAAGCAGTCGGGCATAGCAAATACTAAGACAGAGGGTAGCGGAATGGCTACAGGGAAGCCAATACAGCCCACAGGTTGACTTGAGGGAAGTTAGGTGTCTGTAATTCTCTGGTCCCCATTCCAGCAAGACTACTGCTTTGCCGACTAGGAAAACAGATTACCTGAGTTCTGGGGGTCTGTACCACCCATCTCCTGAGAGACCTGGCTCCATGTCTATACCTCCAATGTCACTGTGCCTAGCTGCTGAGCTTCCTTGGAATCCTGACTAGGCCGGGGTCAAGTCAGGACAAGCTTCCAGAGAAAGTTCCTATGGCTTTCAGATCAACAAGTAGCTTTAAAAACAGTCTCACTGTTTCTGTTTAGGGCACAGCATACATAAGTAGTATCTACCTATACACTGCACTTAAACCTATACACACAGAGATGTATGGACAGACGTAGAGAGGTGTGCAGACACAAATGTCCACTCAGTACCTTTGCTCGCTTTGGCTCTGGTGGTAGGGTTGGGGAGGCAGCCGGATGCCAGCTGCTAAACAGTGCTCCCTTTGCTGGGTTTTACTCAGCAGCCTTAGAAGGGAAGAGGCCCTAGGGAGCCAGGAGAGGATCTCTGACCTCCATCAGGCATGGTGACATTCTTTTTAGCATGCAGCTATTCTGGCTAGTGTGGGCAGTGCCTGTGTTTCCTATTAGCCCACCGGGATACAACCGTGGAAGCCAGTGGGTACCATATGGCATGTAAAGGGTTAGGAGACAGGCTGGTGCCGCTTGTAACCACAGCTTCTCCAGGAAAGACACGCTTCTTCACAAGAAGACTGGGGAGCATGCGCCTCCCGCCTGCTCTTGGCATTGCAAATGCTCTAGACTGCGCACTGGCAGAAAGGCTCTCTTTCCCTTCCCTTCCCACCCACGTGCCTTGTGCCTCACTTTTGGTTCAGTGCAATGGGCTTCCTCTACCTGAAAGAGGAACCACTTGCAAGCAAGGGCTCATATCCAAGAGAACAGCCATCCCATCCAGGTCTTCCTCGGCCTGTTGTCCAGACTTTTCCTAAACTCGGGCAGGTACTGTGAGGCCAGGGTAAGGAGATCTGTGCCAGGCCCACTGATCCGTAGCAATGAGAAGAGGAGGCTTGGAGACAAAGCATTTACAGGTTCAAGAACAAAAGGAGGTGTTCTATATTAAAAGCACATTACAAACAGAAATACCGTACACAGTGTCTCAAACGGTGGGTCAAGCAGCAGTCGTAGACAAGGTTACCAGGGAAGACAATGTGTGAAGTTAGGCCTGTGCGAGGTTAAGGTGGGCTCTATTGTTATCTTGGGGTATTTTTGTTGCTGTTATTTTGTTTTTGCCAACAGCACTAATTCCTGCCTAAGGGGAAAGAAGGGAACAGAATGAAGAGCTACAAAAGGAAGGAGGTGCAGGGTTGCTGGCCTCAGCCTGGCTCTTCCCGCTCCTCCTCCATGCTGGGTTCCAGGGAGCACAGGCAGCCACATGTGAGGGAACAGGGACACATGCTGGAAGCCTGAGACCCCGAGCTACGTCTGGACCTTTCTGGAGGAAGTTTAGCCAAGCACTCAAAGCTACTGTGGGATTCGGAGAAGGCATTTCTACCAAAGAAGAAACAGAGACCCATTTTGTGGTAGCTCTGAAACATCTCTCATGATGCTGCCCACTTCCAGTCCTTCTCAAGGGCAAGCAGCCGGGCTCTGGGCATGTTCACGACTCAGGGCTGTGATCTCCAAACCCCGAGCCTGGCCTCCCATTGCAGGGAGTCCCCTGGGCTAGGGACAGGGCCAGCCTTGCTCCCTTTGGACATTCAAGCCTGGGATACTTTGGGACTCTGAATCTTAACCTCTCCTGCTGTTTTCAGAACAGAACCCGCTCTGCCTTAGGCCCTTTCTCAGTTGTTCTGATTCTTTCACCACGCTGGCAAGTCCCATTTTCTCAGGGTTTTTGACACATTCTTGTCCTTATCTATGGCCCCCTTATGTTTGAGTGCTCTAAAAATCTGAAGCCCACTATGCTTTCCTTGTGCAGACAGAGAGGCAAAATGAACAAGTTAAGAGAGTTAGCAAAATCATTGATATTTCTTTTGAAAAGAATGTTCCTGCACCCTTTACCCGAGGGAGAGTGGAACTGGTTTCTGTTTGACTGAGGAGTCGGGTTCCTCGGCAGGCCTGCTTGGTGGGGCTCTCACCTGGGCACAGCCGTGTCTGCGGCTGGGGTCCTTTTTCCCGCCAGTGTATGCTCTGGAGTGGCAGACTCTTGAGAAATACCCCCAAGGGCTGACAGACTACACAGGGCTCCGAGTCACTCCGGGCTTGGGTATGGTTATAAACTGTGGGTCCCCCCAGCAGAGCACCTCAAAAGCTTCCGCTTCCACAGAGCATAAGCAGGGAACACAGAAAAGTGGCAGTTAAGTTCACCAGCCCTGACTGGGTTTCTATGCCTCAGAGGCTTAACACACCCCACCCCCACAGGGCTCTGCCAAGCCCCAGGCACATTCTCCCTCCTCTGGCAGTGCCTGAGGACTGTGTCCGCTCCTCACTTCAGCAACAGAAGCAGCCCCACTTGAAAGCTAAGAAAATCCTCCTCCTCTTCCCCGCCCATCGTGGAAAGTATACACAAGCTCCTCTGCGGCTTCTGGCACTGGCTGATAATCTTTCATTTTTATTTGAGTTTGTACCTGGCTGTGTAAGATATATTTGCGGCTGGGTGTGGTGGCACACGCCTTCAATCCCAGCACTTGGGAAACAGAGGCAGGTGGATCTCTGTGAATTTGAGACCAACCTAGCCTACATATCCAGTTCTAGCCAGGGCTACAGAGTGAGAATCTATCTCAAAAACCCCCCACAAAAAAATAAAAAAGAAAGAATAAAAATTATATTTGTCATAAACAAGAGAAAATGTGTAACATACAGAAATACAGCCCATAGACTTTGTACATAAAGAGTGACCCATGAGCGCCGTCTGGGGCCACCACAGGGTACTCAGGACCTCCCAGCAGTGCTCAGAACTGTGGCTAGCTTTACAAAGGCAGACAGGGGGACATTTTAAGGAAAAAAACAAGACAATTCTCTTCAGGCCTCATGCTCCTGACACTCCCTATTCTACCTGGCAATGGACAGAGCTGGCATGTGTTCTGAGGTAGGATGGTACCGCTGAGCTCTTGACATAGGAAGTGGTAACGAGAATGGGACAAGGGGGTCTTGACCCTCACTGGATACTCAGATGCCTAAAGTAATTAGGAGAGGGTGGCCCTTGCCACATGGACGATCTGGACACAGAGCTAGGGAATGGGATTCGAAAACTTCAAGTTGCAGTGAACACATTCAAACTGTGGGCCCCAGTTGCACATCTCTGTGACAGGAAACAGGCCCTACACAGGAGTCACACGGAAGCCTATGGCTCTGGGCTTTCCCTGGGTCAAAGATATAGCAGCCTCGTTTGGGTTTCTGTTTACGTACAGCGTCTGCACCAAGAACCTTGGCGTGTCTTGGGAGCGTGAGGTAACCCCACTTACCAGACAGCACCATCACTGGCTCACAGTCTGCCAGTGAAACTCCCCTCCAATCTGCACCAGAACCTCCGACAGGCCATAGAGGAAGGGGACTCCAAACACCAGCAGCTGACACATGAAAAAGGAATCCAGCGGGTTTTGGGCCACTTGATGCCCGAGTGAAGAAATGTTGCTTTGGAGGTGCTGGCTCATCCCCTTGGCCTTGTCACAGAGGCCAAGAGAGTGGTGCACCACCCAGTCAAACAAGGAAGTGAGGCTACCTGGAGTTCTCTCAGCCGAGCTGGCGGCAACGCTGGCCAGTCCGTTCGCATCTGCGGTGGGACCATCCTGCAGGGGTCCTTTGGCTTCCTAGAAGAGTCCATAAGAAAAAAGAAACAGTGATTCTGACTGTAGCCCTCAATGACCCCTGAGAATGGCTACTCTGACTGTCTACTGCATTCCACAGAGAGGAAGTCTTCCCTGGAAAGAAGTCCTCAACTTCTTAGATATCAAGATCTGTGACGCACTGACATATAACATATATATACCCTCCTGCCAACTCTAAACACTCTCTGATGACTGATACCACGACGGAGCCACCACAGAGAGTAAAGCAATATTACACTGTGTTGCTTAGAGGATAGAGGGTCTGCCCAGACTCGATAGAGAAGTGTTTTCCCTCCATGGATGGGACCTACGATGGGGACTCCGTGGACGCAAAAGGCTACTTATTCTCCAGCTACAAGGACAAGAGCTCTGACCTTGGGGAAGGAATGGTTAGTTATGGTGAGCAGCAGGGTGCTCCCCTGCTTAGAATGAGCCCCCCCCCCCCCCCCCCAGTATTGTCTCTGAGACCTGCACCACTAGAAGCTGGTAAATCTGGCTTGTCTGCATCCAGCCAACTGCAGCTCCTCTCTGAGAGTCCCACTCATAGGAAGTTACCTTTCCAGACAGAGGAGCCACTGCAGGCCTCTTCCTCTGCGCGTAGCCCGACAGTCGGTAACAGTAGTGCGGCTTACAGTAGAATTTGCCTGCGGACAGGAAGAAGCAGGGAAAGGAGGAGTGAGCAGAGGCCACAACGGGGAACTTGGCTTGCTAGCCTCTTGCCACTGCACAACCCCTGCCCGCCACAGCTCCCACTCCCCCTACAATCCAGAAAGGCCAGCCCCCAGCCTGCGGCCCCTGGGTTGAACCAGAGGTCTTCCCCTTTGGGTGTGTGAAGGTTCTTGAGCTGCCACCAATCAGTGCCCAGAGCAAAGAAGCGAGGCTTGCGTGACAGAGCCAGCGAACAAAGTAGTAGTGTCCGAGGACAAAGACACGGTCACATGACAACAGCAGTGGCATTTCTGGGGAAGGCAAGAGTGAATAAGTGCGGGGTGGAGGCAGGAAGGCTTCAAGGGCTAGGGCGGCGCCAGTTACTAACTCTGTCTCTGCTCCCCTCCACTGCCATGGATTCCTACCCTCCCTGTCACCAGCCACGGTCAGTCCAAAGCAGGCTGCAGCCCAGGAAGGGCTAAAAATAATACAAGGGGCGAGGGATGGCTGAGAGGCAAATGCTTGTGCTGTGCACAGCCTGACAACCTGACTTTAGATCCTAGGACCCACGCAGAAAGCAGGATGTGGTGGTGGGAATCTGCAATCCCAGCATTCCTGTGGCCGGGTAGGAGGCAGAGACAGGAGAATGGGCCAGGAGCTCATGGGTCAGCTGCCCTGGAGTACACAGTGCAGGGGCAGAAACAGTAAGAGAGGCCAGGCCTCAACCAGGTGGGTGGAGATAACTGACTCCCCAAAGCTGTTTTCTGATCTCTACATGAGTTGTGGTATGCATGCTTGCACACACACACACACACACACGCACACGCACACACACACGCACGCACGCGCGCACGCGCACACACACACACACGCACACAACAACAACAACAACAAAAACAACAGCAACAAAGAAGTCTTGTGTGGATCATAAACAGAGAATAAACAGAGTAAAACCCAAGAGTGTGCTTCAATATAACCAGGGAAGACCCTGATTTTCTAGGCCCTCCAGCCCTGTCTACTCACTGGGTTGTACCTCATGCAACTATCTCCTGCGGAGAGTGAGGCCAAAGATCTCTAAAGACCCGTTTCCCTTCCCAACACAAGTGGGCTAGGCTGAACCAGAGTTAGCTGCCTGGATCTCTTCTCTACCTTGAGGGATGCATTAGGAGCTGCCTGCTTCCCCTTGTCACTGGCCAAGAGCGAGTTCAACAAAGGCAAACCCAGGGGATGGACACATCAGAGGAAACGAGGCAAGGGGCAGCTCCTCCCTTCCCCTGGTGACCTGGGTGTATCTCTCTGTGTTGTGTGCGCATGCATCCACAGGTGTGATTGCCCGGCAATGGCCGTTCTTTGCTCTCCCATGCTGGGCGATTACAAGGATAACCATGCCTGGCATTTTTTATGTGGGTACTGGGAACTCAAACGCAGGTCTTTACACCTGCAGAGCATGTGTTCTTACCCCCTGAGCCATCTGCCAACTCCTATATATTTTTATTTTATAAAGTAACTGACTTTTTCTTTATCTGCTTTTCTTACTATGTTAAGTCAGTTTTGTCAAATACTCAGGAAAATAGTTAAAGGAAGAAATATCTATTTTGGCTCATGATTTCAGAGGTCTCATCCAAGGTAACTTGGTCCCTCTGCTTTGGGCCTTGCTGATGCAGGGCATCACATGGAGAGCAGGCAGATGGGGGAAGAGATGCTCACATCAAGATGGCAAGAAGCAGAGAAAGCATGGGGAAGAAGAGGGAAGAGGCCTGGGACAAGTTATGTCTTCCCAGGGCTCATCCTTGTCACTACCATTTTCGACTAGGCTCCATCTCCCAAAGTTTCCATCACCACCCAACAATGCCATTAACTTATTTATCCGTGGGTGAATTAATCCATTGATGAAGTCAGGGCCCTCACAAGCCAGCTGCCTTCCAAACACCCATTGGCTAGCAGCCATGCCTTTAACAATGACCGTAACTGGAGAGTTTAGATTTAAAGCCAAAGGTGGAAAAAAAAAATCACAGAGAATTTTACAGACTTCAGATAATAGTCATGATCTGTCACAGTTCTTTAAGCAGGTTTCTCACCAGCTGCTGGCACTTAGCCAGGACTTAGAGACCTGGCTCTGTGGGGGACACATGACGGGCAAAGGTCATCATTTCACCATCTACTTCTCTACATGTGAGCAGAGTTGATTTATGTGTTTTCCTGTTGTTTGTTTTGTTTTTAGCTTACCCACAACTCCTCTTAGATAATTTGGGATGGGGGGTTCCTCCCACTAAACAGCAGATAAAATGTATTAGTACACGGATCATCCAGTGTGTTTTGGATTTGTATTGTGCTTCGTTCTTTAAGAAGTACCCATCCTCCTTTACGGGACAGCGATGGGGCTATCAGGGAAGATACTGGACCAGACTGGTCAACCTCAGCCACCTCAGGACCCATTCCCCAAGGCTGGCATGTGACTGAGCCAGGTTGACCGAGGCCATTACAGAGGACTGCTGTAACCTTGAAAGAAGGACTTCTCTGAGTCCACTGAAAATTTATGTTTTTATGTATGATTTGCCTGCATATATGTCTGTGCGCCCAGTGTGCCTGGTGCCTAGAGAGAGAAGAGGGCATTGAATCCGGTGAGACTGGAGTTACAGACAGTTGTGAGCCATCAGGTGGGTGCTGGGAATTGAACCCGGGCCCTCTGGAAGAGTAGCTAGTGCTCTTAACCACTGAGCCGTCTCTCCAGCACCATCTCTAAGACTATTCAGAAGGAAAACATAATTCTAAAGTTTACATTTAGCAACTTGGGTTTCATCATGAAGCTTGTCTATTTATTTTTAAAATTTAAAACCTTTTTACATTTATGTCTGTGTGTGTGTGTGTGTGTGTGTGTGTGTGTGTGTGTATAGGTAGGCACTGGAGGGCATGTGTGGAGATCAGTGCCCAACTTTCAGAACTGGTTCTCTGCTTCCACCATGTGGGTTTCAGGTCTCCAGCAGGTCACAGGTACCGTGCTGAGCCATCTCACTGGCCTGAGGCTCAGGACAGCACAAGGTCACTAGTGACCTCTTACTGTTTCATTGCACCTTTTCTTCTAAGTTAGACACTCAGATCGCAAACTCTGCTGCCAGCTCACGAACACTGGGTCCTGCTCCATATGGTAACTAAATACAAGGGTTGACAGTAACTCCCAAGAACATTCCAGTCACCTGTTTTCTAGGAAGGAAGTATATGACGCAAAAACACAACCAAAGAGAGCTCTTAGTGAAAACCAGTCTCTCGGCAGCCATTCGGACGTTTGGCTTCTTAGGGCTCACTTCCTCCCATGGAAAGGAACAGAGCTTCCACCTTGTAAGGTGAAATAGTTCACCACCACAGGCACGATGTGTGCTCCATTAATCATCAATGATTCTCTCTTTTTTGGAGATATGGACTCATGTAGCCTGCCCTGACCCTGAACCCCTGATCTTCCTGTCTCGGCCTCTCAAGTGGATTACAGATATATGAGACTCTTCCTGGCTTCAATGTAGTTTCTCATTTTCTTTCCCAAACTCAACTCAATTACTTTTGCTGTTTAAATGAATTAAAAACAAACAAACAAACAAACACATACACACACTAATTTTTAACCTAACATTTACTATGCTCCAGACATGATTCCAACGGCTTTACGTCTATCCCTTCATTTGGTCTCACGAGCCTGCACTATCTGCCATTGCACTATGGCTCCTGTCTCAGGAAAGCCCTCCAGGCTAATGTTGTGAATTAGTCACAAGTTAGAGAGGACTCAATGAAGTGATGGACTGGGGAACGTCTAGATTAAGCAATCGTGGTAATCAAAATGAGCGATGGACAGGGAGACGCAGGTGTCTGTCAGGTAGGCCCGAAATTAACTGTCATTGACTCTTTGTGAGTGTCATTTAATGACATGGGTGCCATGGACCCTGGGTCTCCAGTCAAGGCAGACGGGCATTTTAACTGGATGCAGCAGAAGACACGTGACACAGCCCGAGACAGCAGCTAACACCGTGGGTACAACTGCAGCTGGTGGCGCTACAGGCACTCAGTGGTCACTTCACGGCCAGAGGTCGGGGAGGACATGTGGGGACAGGAAGGTCAAGAGGCCCATGACACCCTGACGAGGAAAGAATATTCCAGGCAGGGACAGTCTAAGCAAGCTCCTGTGGCATCAATGGTATACCTAGGGAATGAAAACGAGACCTGTGGCTTTGAACTGTGGGTATCATTCCCACCGAATAGACCAGCCCATGTGTTAAATAAAGGCTGGGTCTTCAGCTACTGGGAGAAGTTAGATCGCTGGGGGTGTGCCTGGAAAGGGACTGTGGACTCCGGTCCCTTCTCTCTGGCTTCCTGGTAGTGAGCATGACTGTTCTGTGGTACACCCCTGCCATGTGCTACCACGTCACAGCCAGAGAGCAGCAGACCAGGGGGTCACAGACTACAGCCTCCTACATAAGCTGATCTCAGGCATTTCGTCACATCGACGGAAGCAGAAGAACACAAACTGCTAAGCTCCTAGAGGCACACTTACACCTCATCTACGCCCTCCAGAGAACCAGGGATTTTCTTTCCAGGCACATCCAAGGTAAAAGGCCAACTAAAATAACCTAAGTATCAAGGACAGCTCTAAGAGGTGGGGGCCCTTCCTGCCAACACCTCTCCTTGGAGTCGAAGGTCTGTCCCAAGAGAAAGGACGTGAGAGAGTAGAGAAGAAGACTCTATGCTAGGAGATTAGCTTCCTCACCTAATTGACTCTTCACTGAGCAGTGTCTTTGTTAGTGCAGGAAGGTGGCACTGAGTTCGCCACTTAGCTCCTGCCTTTGCCCTGTGGTAGAGCTGTGGCTGAGTTTCGCTATTAGGAGGGTCTGTATGATGGGGATGACTCAGTATGGGTTCTCTCTCATACAGTCTCTGGTCTCTTTACAGTCAATATACAACCTATTGAGACACGGGTTTAGTGTCATTCCTGTAAGGATGGAGTTTCCTCTTCTATTCACCTAGGTTTATTAGCCTTAAATGAAACTATGACCCACGAGTTCCTCAGCATCCTGTAGGGATGGCTGCAGGGGCCATAAATGCCTTTGGCACCTATTCCCATTTCCTTAAGAATCTTCAGATGCCGAGCTGCCTGTTATTTGTTGGCACACTTCTCTGCCTTACAGTTAAGGTCTTTCCAGTTAACCGGCAGACCTGGGCCCCAGGCCAGGAGACGCTGATGCCAGAGGGAGGTGACAAAGCTTGGGCATTTCCATCTTGCTTCGTACAACAGAAGCCTGGGATCTATTTTGGTTGCTGTCGTCAATCTTAGGCAAGAAACATGAATTCTAGGAACCCTTCAGGTCCCGTTTCTCCTCCAGTCTCTCTCGTGTGAGGTAAGGAGGTGAGCGTGTGAAATGAGGGACGACATGTATGTGCTGCTCTCATCAGCACCTCCTTGGCTGAGCTCTAATAGTCTGGTGACTGCAAAAATATCTTTAAAGAGTCTCAGAATTACTTTGCTGGGTCGTGGTGGCTCACGTCTTTGATCCCAGTGCTCAGGAGGCAGAGGCAGGAGGATCTCTGAGTTGGAGGCCAGCCTGGTCTGCAGAACAAGCTCCAGGACAGCCAGGGCTACACAGAGAAACCCGGTCTTGTAAATCCCTACCCCCAGTCTGAGAATTAGAAATAAAAAGGAAAGAGATGGCTGAGAATGGTGAATACAGAGAAAATAACGAGGACTGCAGCGAGGGCGTCACTCTCGGCATGCAGGAAGACTCACCGTCCTCGATGTCGTAGGCGTATGCAGAGAGGCGCAGCGTGGTGGCGCAGTACTCGCATTTGAAGCAGCTGCGGTGGAAGAACTTGCCCTCGGCGCTCAGCCTCTCCATCACATAGACCCGCTTCTGGCAGAAATAGCATGTGTCGCTGCCCCCCAGGTTCTGTGGGAACTCCTTCTTTATGGAGCCCTGTGGGGTGGACAGAGGAAGAAGACATCAGCATTTGCGGCCCTTCCCGGGGCCACACGAGCCCTCTGTGGGTGATGACGACTCGGGCTGCACGGACACAGACCGCGGACAGGAAATGATGACAAGAGCTCTATTGCGGCTTTCTCAGAGAGCAGCTTCCGTAGCAGCTCTACTCCATAAGCCGGGGTCTAAACCCATGGTGATCAACAACCAAGAGATGCTTGTGATGGAGTCCAAGGTTTCAGAATTTCTTAACAATCAAACCAACTATTCTGCCAGAGTTCTGCTTGGGGGATAGAATAATTATACATATACTCAGTGTTCATGAGTGTGCACACGTGTGTGCATCCCCTGAATAGCGGAGGGATTATCTTTAAAGAAAAAAGTGCTTTTCCACAGAACATTCCAAATTTTTACCACAGTTCTAGAAATTCAGTCATCAAAATCAAGATCACCTCAAGAAAGCTACCTCGAGTCATCCACGTGGCTACAGAAATCAGCACGGCCTCAGAGCAGGCGAGGGCTGCTCACCACTGTGCCGTGGCTAGAGACAGTGGCCCTGGAATATCTCTTACCAGTTCCTTCTTGTCTAGAAGGCTTTTGGGTTGCTCTTTCCTTTGAAGCTGATTGGCTATCTGCTCAGCCAATGAGCTCACTCCGCCCGTGTACATCTTTATGTACTTCTATTGGTTGAAGATTACAGAATGACCAAACGAAGGGAAATGAGAAGGAAAAAAAAATTAAATTAAGGAGCCAGGAACAACATTTTCTTGAGAGGTGTAAAAAGAATACACAGTGCAACAGCAAACCATGCCAACACAGTGCCCACAAGCAGAAACTGGGCAGTGAGCAAAACACTGTGCCAGTGTCCACACGGTGGTCAGCACACGCATGAGCAGCAGCAGTGGAGACAAGGTTCCAGGGGAAGAACTCGGTCCTTCACGTTTTCCCGAGAGTCCAGTTCTGGGGGACACAGAGGTAGAAGGCAAAACGGAAGCAAACACAGCAGAGGAAGAGAGGCCTGCACCGGAACTCAGAGTTTGAGGGGTCAACTCCAGACAGGTCAAGAGTGTCTACAGTGTCAACAGCCAGGAGGGGGCCCAAAGGGCTCTAGGAGTAAGGTGACCACCTCAGGCTGACAAGGAAACCAGGCAGATTCCTGCAGAGGTTGATGTCCCACGGGGGAAACAGGTGTGAAGAGTTCTGGCATTGCTGGTGACCCACAGTGTCTGCTCCGTACAGCTGACCGCCATGACCTCCCCTGGCCACTCCCCCACTGGAACGGGAGGTGGGGAGTGAGAGCAGAAAGGTAGTGCTTGCTCATTCTCCCCCATGTGGAGGCTGGAGCGCTCCCAGACCTGGTGGACACCAGGTCACATGCTACACTCTGAGGGAAGCTGCTCCTCTTACCCTGGATGATTTGCTCTTCAAGGTGAACAACGCCAACAGAAGATAAAATCCACAACAGAGTATGGTGACACACATCTGTAATTCCAGCACTTGGGAAGCTAAGGCAGGAGGATTGCTGTGAGTTCAAGGCTAGCCTGGACTACACAGTGAGACAGTCTAACCTTCTCCCCAAACACACACACAAATCAAACTAACGCAGTCCCCTTTGGCAATGCTGAAAAAACAAACAGGAAAAATGTCCATATCTGTATAGTGAGCCGCCCTGCTCACAGAGGCCACTGTGGCCCAGCCTGGATTCTGTCCTGGGACTACAGTCAGTCTTATGGGCAGTCTTTTAGAGACCTGGGAGCCAGGGCTCTGGATGGAGACAGGGGATGCTACACCTCTCACAGCCGGATGCTCCCAGCCACGTGGGAGAGGTTGTCACCAATTCTAATCCAGATGCAGCTATCCCAGAGACGGCATCAACCCTCCCCCCCATAAATGACTTCAAGGGATAAACCTGTAAAGCCACATGTAAAAGGGCTGCTGGCCCAAGCAGCAGCACAGCCAGGTTCTCTGAGGCCAACTCTAAGTCTGGGAACAGACACACTTGAGAAAACACTTCTCACTAGGCTAAGCCAGAGACTGGCTGGAACTGAGCAATCAACTTCATTTTCAAACTCTGCTAAAGAGACTGCCTATGACTGGCTTCGCCCGCCAATTCCACAGTCTCTGAGACTAGGGACCTGGAGAAGCACAGGCCCGAGAGAGGCAGACACCAGGTAGAGGACAGTAAAAATGAGGGAGGAAAGCTGCCCTCAAAGGACCGGGAAGTCACACCGTCTTCATCCTGCAGAGCAGGTGGCAAAGGGCCAGCATGCTGCAGTCCTAGCCCCTCTGTGTGCACCCAGGACCTCTATCACCGCAGCAGCCCCAGCCTGGGGCTGCAGAAGCAGAGGCACTGATCACATTTGTGGCGACTCTGACAAGCATCCCCCAGAGAGCTGAAGACTCAGGTTCTGTTTGTTTCCAGCATGGGAAGAGGTGATTTTCTTCTCCCCACTCTTAGAAGGGATTCGAGGCGTAGCAATTGCTGGGCTTGCTCCTACACACCACACACATGCATGTGCTTCCGCACACATGTACCGGCCAAGAACACAAGGCACAGGCCAAGGCAACAGACCCTCTGATCCCTAACAAACGCCTTGGAACTGGATCAAAGCTACTGGGGGGAAAGCAAAGTTCATTCCACACAAGAGGAAGCACCAAGAGCGCTGTGTGCTCACTATCTTACTTAGGAAGGTTAGTGACGGAATGGTTCAAATTCTGCAGCATGTGATTATAAAAACGTAGTCTTCAGCCAAAGGTTGAAAAATGCTATCAATACTGGACACAGTGGGTTCACTCGGACAGGCTGTGATGTGTGACACACTCAAAGAAAGCTGCAGCCTCTTTAACACAGGCATCTGTGGCAACACACGTACGCACGTGCACGCACGCGTACATACACACACGCACGCCAGGCAAAGGTGGAGGCCTCCTAGCCTCCCTCAGGTGGGTGACACCTGAGAAAGTGGAGTGAGCAGAGGCTGCAGGAGAACATGGTTTGCTAAGTCCAGGCCATGCTACCTGTCGGAGGGAGTCAGAGGAGGGAGAGGCAGGGCGGGTGGAGGAGCGGAGACTAAGGGAGAGCTCCCACTGGTCAACAAAAAATCGACGTGAAGGCTCAGGCTCTGGCTATAAAATACAAGGTGGAGAAAGAGAGCACAGTCAACGTTAAAAGTCATACCTCAAACACAGGAACCTCGAGCCAGATGGCTTTGCTCTTTGGCTGCAGAAGGTACGCGGTAAATAAGGCAGGCCTTCCAATTCCCAGAAGAAAGTGAGCTTCATCTATGGCTCCCATCTGCTCCCCGCTTGCTCCTCCCCCATGCTTACCGCTCGGAGCCTGCCTCTGAGCACCTATGAAAGCCTCAGGCACCATGGCTTGGTGCTCCTACTGGGTTCACCCTCTGTGACATGTAACATCAGTGTCTCCCAGAGCCCTTGCTGACCTGTGCAAGATAGCTCCTTGGTAGAGACATCTCACATTTATTCTAGTTTACCTGATAGTGTAAAGAGCAGGACTGGGAACCTCACAATCCCTGGCTAGGGATGCCCTTGTCCTGTGAACAGTGCCCAAGGCTTTCACCATGCCTTCCTAAGGCCAGAACTCAGGTACGCTCCTTCTGTGATCAGTGTGCAGGGCATTTTTGCTTGCTAAGGAGTTAGTAACTGCAAGTGGTGATGTAGGGACCAGATCTAAATGCCCCTCGTCTTAGACTGGCTTCAGCTGGTGCAGCAGTAGTGCCCAGGGTCTTCCTCAACGTTGAGCCCGTGTAGCTAGCAGAGAAAAGGTGACTGCTTGCCTTGACATGCTCTCTCACTCCCACCACACCCAGGACAGAAATCCTTACAACATAGGAAGAACAGAGGTACTGCCCAGGCTCCAAGGAGATCCACTGTACCCCAGTTTGGTGGACATTTCAGTGCCATGGCAGTGACATCGAGTGGCAGGAATCTGGGAATTCCCTACCCCCAGCTTCCTGGCCCTGAGTATAGAGCAACAATTCTGGGGATGAGCAACCTTCATCGAAAGGGAAGAGATAACTGACCACCCTGCTGGAATGTGGGACAGTCAGAGTGGGGAACTGAGAGAAGGGGAGCCGTGGAGAGAGAGCAAGGCAGTGCACGAGCAGGGCTACGGAGTGGGGAGAAGCCCTGGGAAAGGAGCAAGCAGTACCCCCAGTGTCTAGCCTGAGCCCCACACTGAGGAACCGATAGATACCAGCTCCCGGCATGACAGACTGCCACTGGACACCACGGTCCTGGACCTCACACGGTCTCCTGCCAAACTTCCTTTACCCAGCATACTTCCTGCTTCCTTTCCAGATGCTGTTTACTGAAAACCATCAGCACCTCATTAAGAATGCACTCATTCTCCAGAAGCAGGGCACTGCCCTGTTCCCTTTCTTAGCATGGCCAGGACTATAGTCGGGTCTGGGAAGAAGAGGTTATAAATGCCACCTCCGCACCAGCTCCCCTGCCGAGCAGCAGTGAAGGGAGGGCAGGGAGGTTGGCCATCTCCACCTCAATCCCTTCTCTCCTAACCCCATCCTGCTGGGAGTTTGGTCCAAGGGCAGAGAAGATGGTGCTAACATCTGTTGCTAATGAACCCAAGCTGGGACCTGAGTTGCCACTTGAGCCTCAGAAAACAAGCAGGCCGGGAGAGGGCGCCTCTGAAATCACCAACAAGGCAGTCCACCAGCTCGCTGGAGATCTTTAAGGATAGGATCCATGAAAAATCTTCATGAAATAAGTAGGTTGGCTAGGACTTCATCATCACATTCACTGAAAAAAATGGCACAATGGCCCATTTCTATCTCAAGAGCTAAGACTATGAAATCCACTGTCTGTCTGCCCCCAACGCTTCCCCTCTCCTGGTTCTCCCCAGTTGTCAAAGCCTTGTGGCCACTCGCACCTGTTTTGGGGTAGAGTGATAAGGTCGTGGGATGGGACAGGAGAACGAAACTGGAAAGTCACCAAGGCCCATTGTAACAACGAAAGCACCAGGATTAGTAACCGGTCTGAATGTTTTGCAGATGGACACGCTGCAGTTAATGCTATTGAATGGGTCAACGCTGTTAGCAAAACGTCCTGGCTGTTGGCCGGGTGACAAGTGTGCAAAGAGCCGGGAGAAGGGACTGTTCTCCATGCTCCCTTCCCTCTGCCCCACCACCCAGCGTGCCCAACGGCTGCCTCTCAGCATCCCATGCCACAGGCTCATGCTTTTACCCTCTCATGGTGGGGGTTCTGCTTGCCACGGCTGTCAGCATGAAGATCCCTGCATATCTGTTGGCAACAAAGTAGAAACTTAAGCCCTACCCCAACTCTACTTGGACCTACCAGGTAACAGTCCGAGATTTAGGCAAGAATTCAGAGTTAATTCATATATCTCCCCAGCCCCAGATGTCCCCAACCAATTATCCACAATCCCGCCTGTATCAAATTCCATGATCTGGAACAATTTTCTGTACGGCCTTCCACCTGCCTCTACACAGACAAAGAGCTACGGTTAGCACAAAAGTGGAACAAACGTGTCTTTCACCAGTGGCGTAAGGTTGGAGGCATGCAGTGGAAGGCTTAGCTAAGGAAGCAGGCTGGCGGAGAAGCTTTCCCCGGCAAGACCTCAGAAAGAAAGGTGGGGATGGAAACAGAGCTTGGAGGAAACTCCAGGGTGGGGAGCAGGCCCTAAACAGGAACCTGGGAGCAAGGCACAGTTCACTGCAGGGAGAAGGGCAGGGAGACTGAAAGACTCCCGGTTAATGCACCAGTGTGAGGTCATGGAAAATCTTAGAACAGGCACAGGGCTGCCTCAGTGAAGAACTAAGATGGCAATTGTGGGGACAGGAAGGCCACGATGTCCACTAAGGATAACTTGCGATGTTCATCCTCGGAAATGGAAGTCAATGTCCCAGGTGGTGCCCTCATCTGGTGCCCCCGACATGTGACCACAGGCAGCGTGAGCCTAGAGCCTGCCTCCGGACTTCTCACGGCTCCCGTTCCGTTCTGGCCACTGCTCACCTGTAGTCTTGCACAACTCCTTGGCCTATCCGCCCCATTCCTCGGGCTGTAAGTGGAGGTGATGGTGCACCTGCCCCACAGTTACTGTGAGAACGGGCTGAAATACTGTGTGGGGCAGAACCAAAGCTCAAACCGTGAGCTTTTACTTAAGAGGAAGACACTGGGCAGTCACAACAGCTACCATGTCTCAGTTTTTAGGCCCTGGGGCATGAGGAAGGCCTGAAAACCCAGATGCATCATTGGTGGCCACCTTTTAGGTCGGTTACCTTCATTATGAAAATATCCTTCCACAAACCCTGCCCTCGGAAGTGGCTCTTTATTTTCTAGGGTTTCAGCTCAAAGATCAGCAAGTCATTCTGTATGAGCACTATATAGGTGTGTCCACCATAAACCCATGTCTGCGTGGTGCAACAGCCACATGTGCCTGGCGGCTCTCAGTGCAGCTCTTCAGTGACCGGCCTAGAGTGTGAAAGGGTGGCTGGGTTGGTTAGGAGAGGCTGTATGAGCCAGAGAACAGCTGTCAGCATCACAAGGCACCAAATCCATGCAGGGAGGCACGAAGCTTTCTTGTGCACATCTTAACCATAGTGCATAAGACAGCAAAAGAAACATGGCTACTTTAAGAGAGCTCCTATAAAACTGTGTACCTCGGGGGCGTACGGGCCTTCAATCTGAGATCTATGCTTTGGTTTGCAGCTGACCTCCCACGATAGGGACTGGCCCAGAACATGCAGGATTTGAATGCACAGGGCCCTATCCTGAGGTCCCAACAGGAATTGCTCACTTGAAACAGTGAAGGCTGCTTTTGCTACGAGTGATCTAAAAACTTACGCTTGGAAAGCGGGGTTACTGAGGTGGTTCCCTCCATGCATCGTGTAAGGAGGACAGACAGGACACAGAGCATGCAGAGGATCACCTGCTGAACACGGCGCGCCCGGCAGGAAGGTGGAGTAGGGGGAGGAGAGAGGGTGATCACTTTTTTGGGGCAGGTCCGAGCACGCTCCTTTTCCTGTCGCTTTCACACCAACAGACACAAACAGAAAGAACACTGTTGAAGCAGGGGCCTCGTGGAAATCGCTCCTGAGAGAGCCAGGGAGGATTTGTATATTTGCAAAGCATCCCAAGGGGCCCCTTCCTTGGCCATCCGCCCTCCACAACACCTCACTCTGTTCGGGGTGGCTCATCACAATCTTTTGTCTTTCATGGTGGACTGGTGCCTTACACTAAACAGGGGTGAGAACTCTGGTGCAATGCTCTCTAATGCCAAGGGCCAACGGCTTTATCAGAGAAGTTGGGGACACAGAAATGGCTCTGATCATAAGAAGAAAGAAAAGGTAGTCAGGCCCACCTGGGATAGCACACAACTTCTGCACACCAGGTCACACCACATCAAAGCATGTCTCCCCCAAGCCATCTGTGGCCACATCGCATCAATGCCTTGCTTTCTAAAGCCTTCCTCACACGCAAGAGTTTAAAAACTACAAAGAAATGCCCGAAAACAGGTTCTACAGAATAAGTCCTAACTGAATGCCCATCCCTTGTCCTGCCTGTACCACACATGCCCTTCTCTGTGGACTGGTCCACGGTTCAGTATTTGAGAAACAGCCATATGTTACCCTGGGCCTCTCTGGTACCTTCCAGAAGATTCTCAGCTTCCTTTACCCAGACTGCTAATACAAGGGAGAGGGTAGGGGTGGGGAGGACTGTGGCCGCTGTGAGGTCAGAGAAACATCTCCACTGTGTGTTCCCACCTCGTATGACAATCTGCTTCCAAACCTAGCTCATGTGCAGCTCGTCTGCAGGATGCACTTTTGAGATCCAAAGGAAAAGGGAGGGCAAAGGACGGGCTGCAGTGTTTACACTGGAAAGAACAGCATGAAAATCGCTGGCAAGCAGGGCTGTTACCCATTTTCCTCCTTCCACACGATGACCTAAGTCGGAACAGGTCCTCATGCCAGCTCTGCCATGGCCGCCACGCCTGCCGCCTCAGTAGGAACCACTCGAAGAGACACACACAGTGAGTCACCGTGTGGTGCTGTCTGTCGGAGGCCAGTGGCCAGCCAGCAGCAGCCCAGGCACCCGGGCTCTGGGTTCCTGGGCTTGGGAGCATCTGAACGCATCTCTAGCTCTTGGGAGAGACATCGAGAGGGCCAAACCCACGAATTGAAGCTGAAATACGATGAATGTGAGTGTCTGACATTCCCCTGGAACACATGTGAGGTACAGGGTGCCAGTGCCACCGATATAGACACTGAAGTCTATAATTCCCCACTCAAAGGAGCCTAGAGCACCTAATGATCCAAGTGATTCCATTGTTCAAGGTTGCCAAGGCTCACACCACCTTCCATGACACCCGCTAGAGCCTACCAGTATCTTACTTCACTGGTGGCGGCAGTAAAGGAACCGGATGACAAACTGAACAGGCAGGAACAAAAAACAGTCTCTGCACAGGTCTTGGCATAATGTGAGCGACCGGGTTTCCTGAGTAGCCCGCGTATAACCAGGTTCCTCGTGACCTTTCAAGCTGCCAGACTGATCTTCATCAGGACAGAGGCCACAACCTAGCAGGCTCTCTGAGTCACACACACTGACCCCTCCTTTCTAGAAGCCCCACAAAGCTGCACCAGCACAGGCTGCACCCATGTCCCCGCTTGTAGGTAACACCCGACCTTCCTGCTGTTCTGTTTAATCTTGGGCCTTTTCTGGGAAGAGTAAGTCTTGACACTTCCAAACTTTTAAATTAGAGTTCACCGATTCCCTTCCATCAAGACTTGAAGCAAAAGACTAAAAAAAAAAAAAAAATCGAACAAATTTGTGATGATGTTTTTAGAAGGCTTCTCTCTACGAAGCAGTTCCTACTGAGGCGGGAAGTTTGTGTCTGGGCACTGCTCCAGCATTCTCTCTCTCTCTTCCTTCCTGGGTCCTAACTCCCATGTGTGGTATTATTACAAGGTTAGACAGGAATATTTTCTTCAAACTGCAATTTCAGCAACGCCCAGCTCGCCATTCCCCAGCACTTCCAGGCACCAGAGCTGGTAAGGCCGGCTGTGAGAGAAGCTAAAAGAACCCAGGATCAGCTCGCTCTATCCAAGTGAAGGGACCCTGACTACAAGGATGGTCATCTGGTACCCTGCCCCCAGTGATAAAATGCTCGACCACAACACTGGGAAGAAAAGTGCAGACACTTCCCACCCACTGGCAAGTCTCTCCTGCCCGAGGCGTGGGTCCCTCCTGTTCCCGCCTGTCACAATACGCAGCTTTCCAGGAGCCCTGCAAAGATTTTGGTGGAAATCCCCAGAAGAGGTTTTTTCGTTTATTGTTTTGGATGGGACTAAGGATGGAGCCCAGGATGTCATGAAGCTGGGCAAATGTTCTCCCACTGAGCTATACAAAAGATGTGGACAAAATTCCAAGGAGAAAAAAAGAACCCAAACCAAAAAACCCAACCCATAAACATTTTTGCATAGGTCTGAAAGAAACAAGTCCACAGCTGATGACTACTTTCATAGGTGTATTTCCTGCCTCACACAACGGCACAAACCCCAGCTCTCGGGCATGACAAAGGTAGCAAGGAGGCAGGCTACCAAGGGGCCAGTTTGGAAGCAACAATACAACAGCAAAGCCCCAAAGGCTCAAGGGCCATACCTCGACCACTTCCCAAATCACTCCAGCTCCCTTCAATACGGAGTCAACAGCCTTCCTAAGAGGCTCCTAAACCCAAGAGAGCAAATGCAATCGTGGAATGAGACCATCACTGCCTGTCAAACATTTTCCAAAGACTACTCGCAGGGGCAGAGCTTCCCGCCTTGGTGAGCTAGGTTTTCAGGCAGGCCAGGAGCAGAGATGGGGTGGAATTCTAGACCCTAGCAATTCTTTTACCTGTTTCCACTGGGGGATGGGAGCAGGGCGACCCTGCCCAGGCAGGCAGCAGGACGGCCGTCTGACCCCACGTTCTTGTGTCGGCTATGACACACACAGGCCACGAGTGAGTGGGGGCAGGACATGGAGACAAAACAAAATAAAATACATTAAGGTAGAAGAAGACATTAAAAAGGTACCTGTGGAGGACAGACATCTATCCATCCACCAACTGTGAGGGGGCGGGCAGGCTAAGTGAACTCTTAGAAAGTTACATTAATAAAAGAACAATAGTAGCCTCCCCCAAAGCAAACGCAAGTGCAAACACACTGGTGGAGAGATAAAAGAGGGGATGAAGAGAGGGAAGCAAGCCGTGGTTCTTGCTACTCTTATCCCAAACTGAATTCTCTGGGGATCTAGACTACCATGTGATTTGGAACATTCCCTCTCAGATGAAGAAAGCAAGCTTCTTGCAGAGGCGACCTTCCACTGGGGGGCGCTGTGGCCTCCTGACACGGGGCTGGCAGAGCACAGCAGCCTCCACCGGTCCAGGGAATGCTACCATGCCCATTGACACAACAGGCAAAGATAACCCAGGGCAGGTACGAGAAGCAAACGCACTGCTGCTTCCGGACCCACAGGAGTGACAGCCCGTGAGTATGGGGAAGAAAGAGAATCTCCCTGTCCTGATGCTCCTTCAGGACCAGGGAGCGGTGCAACACACTTCAGAGAGACATTTAAAATGCCAGCCCCTTCTCTTTAAAGAGGCTTAGCAACATCTGCAGAGCAAAGGAGAGACGGTGTGATACGGATACTCCAGGCCAGGTGCTGTCAGACTCTGACACGTGACTTCTGTCTCCAGCGTCTCCACCTAATAGCCCGTGTTCCTGGAACAAAATCTTAGCTCACAGAAGCAAGAACGAGTATCTTCATTATGTTATCAAAGAAGAGAAGGAACTAAAACATCCACCACAGCTAGAGACAGTGAGAACACAGTGCGCACGCTCCGAATGCGAGCTGAGAAGACACGGGAGTGAGCCGTGGTCAAAAACAAAATGCGGAACCTAAGGAAGTGTCCTCAGAGTGGTCGCCACCACGAAAACAAGACTGTCCTGAGAAAAAGTCCAGAAAGAATGTGGCAAAATTAAAAGAATTGTAGGAGCCTTAATCACCTCCATTCTACTTTTCAGACTTCCTTCAGGAAGTCATATTCTTCTTTTTCTTTCCTTGGGATGGTCTATCATGCAGCTCAAGCTAGCCTTGAAATCACAATCTTCTTGCCTCAGTTCCCCAAGCACCGCTTCCACACCACGCTTCCTTTGTAATTCAAGTCTGTGTGCGTGCGAACATATACATGTGTTTACAGTCATCCAGACAAATACGTTTCAGACTTCTCTGCTGATAGTGGTCATGGATTCCTCAGACCTGAGGTGAAGCTAATGCAGCCTTGAATGCATGAGCTTCAGAAGAGCAAGCCTGGCCCAGGAGTCCCGGGGCCCATGCATGGCTCATCTCACTGCATCAAGTTCGCCCCTGCTGTGCCGTCTGGTGCACTGGGAAGCTGCGCTTACCTGTCTCCTCACGCCAGTGGACTGTGGGGGCGCATTCTCTTCGAACTTGGCCAGCAGCTGGGTTGCCATATACTTTACTTTGTTCTGGTTCCCAATGGCAGCATCCATCCGCCTGTCCGTCAGGGTGCTCACCAGGGTGGGTCTTTCTCCTCGGTAGCTCCGGGGAGGCTCCTCCTGCCCAACGGAAGGCACCCAAGAATCAGGATGGGACACAGGGAGCCGCTGATGCTCTTCTCTCAGTGTGTGGGCAGGAACTGACCAGCAGCTTTAGGTGGCTTAACTAGCGTTCTGCAAAGTTGTGATGTGCAGAATAAGCAAGATCCTAGGATGCAGGGCACTGCCACAGGGCACAGGGACTTGTGCTGGCATCCCCAGATCTCAGCAAAGCCACTGATTCCACAGTGAGAGAGCGCCAGGGCACATGTGTGTGCATATTCCCTGCTAGTTTCTGGAAAATGAGATGAAGGCAAAAAGGACAGAAACTCCCATGAGAGATGACTATGTAAAGACCTAGCAATACCAATCGGAGAATTAATAATTAAACCAGGTGGCCAGAGAGATGGCACTGTGGTTAAGAGTGCTTACTGCTCCTGCAGAGGACCCAGGTTCTATTCCCAGCACCCATAGGAGACAGCTCACAACCACCTGTAACTCTAGTTCCAGGGAATCCCGTACCCTCTGATACCTGCACACAGATAGTGCATATTGTTGAAGGAGCTGCGGTGGGCTGTGTTCCCGCCCAGCTCCGCACGGCTAGCTTTATACTCGAAATAATTACACGGAAACTGTAATTTTTTTTAAACACTGCCTGGCCCATTAGTTCTAGCCTCTTATTGGCTAGCTTTTACATATTGATATAACCCATTTTTAATAATCTGTGTAACACCACAAGGTGTGGCTTACCAGGAAAGATCTTAACCTGCGTCTGTCTGGAGTGGGATAATCATGGCAACTGCCTGACTCGACTTCTTTCTCCCAGCATTTTGTTCTGTCTACTCCGCCTACCTAATTTTCTGTCCTATCAGGCCAAGCAGTTTTCTTTATTAGTTAACCAATAAAAGCAACAGATAAGATACAAGACCCACCTACATCAGCATATAAACTCACACGGGCACACAAACATACACACAGAAATAAACAAACCCCAAATCCTTATTTGTTTGACAGCGTACCAGTCCTGTCAACCGTGATAAGTCTTACCTCCTCCGACTGACTCGTTTTCCTCCTCTTCCCAGCCCCATCCGAATCCTTTTCCTTTTTATCCTGCACCAAGAGAAGACACAGACAGCGTGAGCCTGGTCACCTTCCTTGGCCATCAGCTCTGCAGCCACTGTGAATGTAACTCAGGTGTGCACAGACCTTGGGAGAGCGCTTCCGAGAGATGGTCTGGCCCAGCTTGCTCAGGAAGGAGATGGGGGATTTGGTGCTGGCTATCAGGACGGCTTTCTCCTCTGCATTCAGGTCCAAGGTGTCTGCGGACAGGAGTCAGCAAGGCTTACCTAGGATGACACTTCAAAGTCCTGACCAGGGGCCTGGCAGGAAGGAAGCTCCCAGACTGTAATGGGTTACCGACTAAGATGGAGCATTCCTCTCCATAGGAAACACCAGAAGGGAAACGCGTGCACAGGTCTAGACACTCTCTTTTCCATTCACACACACAAAACCAACCACATTCCTTAGTGTGCAGCAACCCACACTTCGGCTCCGTAAAGGCTGGACTCTGCCTGTGGCTACCACAGCAGACTGGTGAAGTTAAATTTTGATAAAGAAAACTTCAAGTTGGGGTGGTAGGTTCAGAGGTATGAGACCCGGGGCTGTCGGGTTTTGTTTGGGTGGGGGGAGCTTCAGAGGCCATGTTCTCAGCTGGGTCTGAAGAGGGTCCTCAATGAACAGGGCTACTCAGCTCAGGGTTGGTGCTGTAAAAACACATATCCAGTTAGGCAAAGACACAGGTGCCTATAAAGGGTATATGGGCTTGAAGACACCAGGGGAGGAGGGCACCACTAACTGAATTCCAATTATTATTATTATTATCATCATCATCATCATCATCATCATCATCATCATCATCATCATCATCATCATGGGGGGAGCACACATGACCCAAGCATGTGTTGGGGTCAGAGGGCAGCTTTGTAGGATCAGTTTTCTCCTCCTGCCTCTCTGTGGGACTGAACTTGGTTTATCAGGTTCTTACTGTCTGCTGGTAAGCACCTTTACCCACTGAGCCATCTTGCTGGTGGGAATTCTGATATTATACTCACAGCAACAGCAATTTTGAGACTAGTAATTAGAACCGATAATGAATCGCTAACATTTATTTATTCAGCGCTCACTTGCCATTCTTGGCACCAAACAGCACCATTAGATACCCATCACTCCCCGTTTACACGCAGGGAGACTGACTTGTAAGAAAATTCAGCAACCTGCCCAAGGGTGAAACGTGGAAACACTGGAATAAAACCCAGGTCAGACAGTGCCTACACGCTGAAGCACTGTGCTTTTGTGACCCTAAGTGGTGTTCCAGGTAGCTTTGTCAATTTGACATAAGCCAGTGTCATCAGAGAGAAAAGTCTTGATTGAATAACTGCCTATATCAAATTGTCCTGGGGGGGGGGGGCTGTCTTGATTATTCACCGATACAGGAGGACCAAGCCCACGGTAGGGGGCACTACCCCTAGACAGGTGGCTCTGGGTTGTCTAGCTGGCCTGTGAGCTGTCGACCGCCTTGGCGGGTTACTCAGTCTAGGGGTGTAACCTGCCTGGCTGATCAGTTATTCCAGGGTCACGGAGAGGCACTATCTGGAAGATAATGGGCGAGAGAGAGGAAGGAGGCCAAGCGGGGTTTTTGTCAAAGCCTCCGTTTATTAGAGACAGGGTTACAGCTTATATAGGATAAGGAATTGGGGGGGGGGAGCACTGGGGCCTGGACTCTTGCTGCGTGGTTCAGGTTGGTCACGTAGGCCAGGAAGTCACAAGTTGACACACCTAGTTTTCTAGATAGTTTGGAATGCGGGGCGGGTTCCGCTAACAGATAGCTCTCTATTAACAGCTAATTGGGTATGGGGTAGGCTCTGTCAATAGAATGGTTCTTAATACAATTGGGGGTGTGGGGTTCTCTGCAGACTCCCCAGGGTGATGGTTCCTGTAATAATTTTAGGAGGAAACGGCTCCTGACAGTGAGCAAGTGAACCAGACGGTAAGGTGGCAAACAGCATTCCTTGATGGTTCCTGCTTCAGTTCCCACCCCATCTTCCCTCAGTGATGGATTGTGACCCGGAAGTGGGAGCCAAGAAAACCTTCTCCTCCCCTCATCTGCTTTTGGCCGGGGTTTCATCATAGCAGCAGAAAAGGAAACCAGAACAGGTTGCGACAGGAATACTTTTTGTAGCCCTACTGAGTGCTAGCTGAGGTAGCAAGCTGAGGACCAAGGCAACATATGGGAATCTCTAAGAGGGAGAAGGTGCAAGGGAAACTGGAGAGGGAGGAGCTACTGAGAACCATAAAACCCAGCACTACAGACACTGGGACCATGAGAGAGCGCCAGGAGACGTCATGGCAGGGCACTGACAAGAGAAATACCCAGGCTACAAGATGAGAAACAAAGGCACGTAGCCCCAGTGTGAGGAGCTTGTCTGATGTTCATGAGACCTCAGGAGCAACCACACACACACATACACATACACGCATGCATGCACCCACACATATGCACCCTCACACAAACTAAAAAAAATGAAAAAGTAAATAAAGAGGCAAGAAACAAGAAAAGAACTTGGATTGGAAAGACTCTCTGCCAGGGCGCAGGGTCATCTGGGCAGAGTCCCACCAAGAGAAGCAGTATCACAAAGTACTTCCAAGTGCAGAAGGAGTGGGTCTGAGAGAGGCTGGGGGAATGCGCAGAGTCAAGGAGGAGCGCTTTGGGTAGATGGGTTCTGCACACTTAGTGGTAAAATAAGAACCGGCTTGAAAACAGTGTAAGGTTAAGAACACAGGGCTGAGACACAGCGTATGAAGAGAGGCTCTAGGGACAGCCCTGCTGACCAGGCAGCAGGAGGCCAGGAACCCAGCCCGAGCCCGCAGGTCCTCACCGCTGGAAGAGAGTGAGTCCTTGAACATCTCGTAGAACTGCGTGAGGTACATCACCATGGAGAGCTTGTCGGGCTCCGCCACTGCCGCCATCTCCTTGCCGGTCATGATAGGAGAGATGCCCAGCTCCTTCTCAGCCACGTCGAAGGCCAACTGGTTATTCTTCTCCACGTTCTGCTCATCCAAAGAGTCGAAGTCTCTGAGAAGCATGACAAGGAAAAGCGGATCAAGTAGGGCTGACTGCCCCCAAACCAGAACACTGTGCCTGCGCCACTGTCATTTCCCAGTCCCTGCGGTCCAGGGAGCAGGGCGGCATCCCTGGGTCAGAGAGCAGGTCGGCTTTTCTCGACCCCTTTCTTCCCTTCTGGCTAAGAAAACCCACAACACTGTTGGAGAAATTACTGGAGAGCTACCCAGCGAGATGAACGGGGAGGGGTGGCGGGGGAGAGACAGTTCGCATCTTACTATAATGTAAGCTCAGGACGGGAACTATCTTAGCGTGTGTTCCTGCACGCCTGTCCACAGACACATAGGAAACTAATGTCCGACAGTGACACAACCCTGTCTGGACAGAGTTCCCAATGTCCGGGGCTGTCGCTTGCCCCAACAGTTCAGGGAAATTTTACCAAGCTTTCTCTTGAGGGGAAATTCTAAAACCTTCTTCAAAAAAGTTTTCCACCCCTGAATCTCCTGAGCTTTCCCAGCTCCCTTGGTTCATAAACACCCGCCCCTGTGCCCCCGCCCCCCAGATTTTATGCTCTTGCTTAAGGACAGCTGAGGTTTTTTTCTCATTGACTTCACTATCCTGGCATCCCTCACTTAGCATTAACCTACTGACCTCATGGAATTTTTTTTCCATTTCAAACAAATTACTTTTCTCTTAGATTAAGCCTATTAAACCAAGAGCACTCACCCTGAATACAGTCCAAACCTTGCTGAATCACGCACGCCCTCACTGCTTTCTGATCTCCCTCAGGCCTTCTTCAGGCCACCTGCCCATGCTCTTCTAAGGACCCTCTACCTACACTCCATCCCATCTCCAGCTGCTTCCCGACTTCCTTCCTTTCCTTTCCTTCCCTTTGAGATTGAACTGACTACCCCTCCACCCCGGTCATGCCACATGGCTGTTCTCCCTCCTCACCCCGATACTTTCATTTACTTTTTTTTTGCCAACCTCAGCCTCAGAGGTCATTAGAAATTTACCCCTTCTTTTAATTTTGCCTGGTTGAACCTAGAGCCTGGTAGATGTCTGTTGATCAAGAGCCACACTCCCATCTCTCCGTATTTATTTATTCTTTTTAGCAGACAGTTTCAATCTGAAACTCGACTCTCCTGCATAAGTGGCCTGAGGCTGAGATGGTGGGCATGCCTGGTTACAGTTGTTTTGTTTTGTGGTACCGGGGATCAAACCTGGAGCCTTACACAGACAGGGTCCTCATTGCAAATCCACCTCTTGCATCATTAGCTTGCTAGCATCACAAAATAGGGGCTGTGTCACTTAGGATTTCCTTAACCAAGCATTAGAACAATGGGGGAAAACCTGGGCCCTTGAGTGGCCCTAATGATAAAAAAGAAGGCAGCCAAGAAAATCCACCAGGTCCTGCTGCTGTCTCTGAATCTGTTTGGCTTCCATAGTAACAAACGCCTGGGGGTGGGGTGAGGTCTGAGTGCTTTGTTCACGTGGCTGACCCAAGAGGAGTGAAAAATGGAGACCAGAGGGATAGTAGGTAAGATGACGTTCAGAGAAGCTCAAGAGTGCACTTGTAAAAAATATAATCTTTAGCAGAGAAAATGCCCAAGACCATCATAAATCAGGTATGGACCTATTGTCTTCGGTTGGGTTGAGCTAGCCAAGTGTTCCAGCCAGGTTTCCCTTGTGATCAATCGCATCTGAGAGAGAGCTAGCCAAAAACCAAGAGTTCAACTTGGGGCCAATGAACAGAGTTTTCCTTTGTGCAAAGTTAACAGGCCCAAGTGGGTGTTAAGACTAGTTTTTGACCTTCTGAATGCTACGATTTTTAGAGCTAACTTTTTTTGGGGGGTTGAGTTTAAAAGAAGTCTAAATAAGTCAAAATCCTGGCCTTCTAGAGAGCGTTTTACAGTGCAGCCATACTAGGAAGAAGCATAAACTTTGCATAGGGGGCTCTGGGACCCTTGGTGAATACAAAATGAAACACGAAATTGGTCAAGACTTACATCAGATCAGGGCGGTATCTGTGGATGATTGCACACAGGGCCAGTCCGCTTTTCCAAGATGTGGTGAGGTCTGTCACATTCACCCCTGCATAGCCGTCGGTCTGCCTTTGACACCAGCCCAGCAGTTTGCTTGAACGAGCTACAGACTCTAAAACAGTAAAAATAATTACTGAAGTGTGCTCCCCAAGTAACACTGACGTAGCATACGCTTTGCAGCACACAGATCCAGTCTGAAAAATTACTGAAAAAAGTCAGTGCTGTTTTTGGAAGAGAGTCTCAGCATGAGTTTATGTCACTGGTGCCATGGTAGCACCATTTTAGGCACCGACCTATCCGATTCCAGGGTCAATGGCCCAGACAGATAGATCTCAGCAGAGTGACAAGGGCCTGCCACACAGAAGTCATGTTCCAGCAGCACTCAGGGAGACAAGCAGATGGCAAAGTGCCACCTACTGAGCTGATACCTCACTGGCACCAGAGTCAAGATGTCCCTGGAGAGTTGCCTGGCAACAGGCTGAGGAAGCCTTTTCCTCCACAGCAACACCTGGGAGATTAGATCAGAAAAGGTTTCCTCCATGATACCTTAAACCAAAAGCAAACAAAGCCTTTGTCTCACTTCCTAAGGTCCTGACTGAGTGCCAAGTGAAGAGACTCTGTAGGGTGACAAGGCCAAGGCCACATAGGCCAGACCAGAGCAGTTCTCTAGACCCAGGGGCGTGACCATGTTGCTAATATGTGTGCCAACGATCACATGTGGAGACGACAAGGCTAAGAGACACAAAAGTTTCCTGACTCACTGGCATGTCTTCCTCACGAGGAGGTCTGCAAACACGGAAGAGCCCGTGAGCACTGGTCTGCGCTTGAGCAGTCGGTTCCCGATTCAGCTCTGCACTAAGTCACTTTGTGATTCGTGAACAGATGAGTTAAAAACGTCTCCGACAAGAGTCTCGCTGAGTCTCACAGTGACAGCACGGTGTGAGACAAGGAACGGAGCAACAAACGGAGCAGCGCTTATGGTGCCGCTCTTGGCCTTGACAGTGACCCGCTCAGGTGTTTCCCGTGTCTGCACATCTACCCGCCCCACATATACGGGGCAACCACAGAAGCCCAGGTGAACACGGAAATGGCAAGAAAGATACATTCTCTGCTCTCAATGGGTTGACACCCCAGGGGAGAAGAAGAGGATGTTATAACCTGCCTGCTAGTTTTCACATCTACCCTGACACCTCACGACCGTGTTATTAAACTATCCAAGATGGAACTCAAACCTGTGCACCTCCCACCTCTTGTTTGGACTGAGGCAGCAAAACCACACCCATCCACCTAGTGCCTCTCAGGACAATCAGCTGTCCCTGGCCACCCACGGTGGTGCCTTCAGAGTTTTAATATCAGTGACAATGACAAAACTATTGCTGTTTCCAGGCACAGCAGGCCGAGCACTGGCAAGTGCCATGCCAGAGACCTCATGACAGCAACCCGAGAGCTGTGCTGTTCCTCCCAGATCAAAGACAAAGAAACTGAGGGTCTGAGGTTCTGGCTGATCTGCTCAAGGTCACACTCTTTGAAGATGGCACAGTTTAGACTAAGAGCTGCTTGTGTCTGGCCCCAACGTCCAGGTTCTGCTGTGATGGTGCCGTCTCAGGGCCCGGATGAAAAGTCACCACGTGTTCTCTCCCAGAACTTGAGTGTATGTGAGAGTACCCAGGAACGTATGTGCACTTGGGCATTCTTTCTCATCCTCTCCAGGATCTGTAACTGGCTGTTGTAGGACACCGTCCTCCAAGTGTCGTCATCAGAGCAGCTGGGATTGATGGCAAGCGACCCTTACGGTCAGGGCTGCTGACCCCCCCCCCCCCACACAGGACGGAAACACCTCCCTCCCCATTTCACACAACGCTGCCCCAGCTGCACACAGGCTCAGGAGGTGCTGGAGCAGAGAGAAGCAGAGGCCTAACTGAAGGGATGACTCCAGCCACACAGCTGTGAAGTCATCAGCTATATGAGACTTCAGCGATGTGGACATATTTGGGGGTTACCTACGTTCCTGAGGGTACGCTTAGTAACTCACTGGGTCACAGAGCTACACTCGAGGACTCATTACTTTGTCTACGCCCCAATGGGCTGGTATCTCAGTGGCTATTGGCTGAAGGAGTGGAAGGAGCTCCCGCAACATACTGTTGGTTCCCTATCTGGGACAAACAAACATTTGCTTATGTCTCCCTAGGAAAAGTTCATGAAGCAATTTACCTCTATACTTTTTGTTTGTTTCTTTTTTTTTTTTTTTGAGACAGGGTTTCTCTGTAGATTTTGGAACCTGTCCTGAACTCGCTCTGTAGACCAGACTGACCTCAAACTCACAGAGATCCGCCTGCCTCTGCCTCTCGAGTGCTGGGATTTAAGGCGTGCACCACCAACGCTGGGCTTTACCTCTACACTCTTACACTACCTTAGACCACAATACTTTCCTGTGTGTGTGAGGATCGTTCTGTGCGTTCCAGAAAGTGTAAGCAACAGCCCCGAGCTCTATCCACTGCAGCCACTGGCAAACCTAACCCAGTCATGACATAAAAATATACCCTGGCAACAACCTAATATCCCTAGAGGGTAAAACCACTGGCAACAGCCCAGGGCCTCTGATAGTCCTGTGGTCAGGCAAGGGCTTGATGGATGACTGCAGACGTCTTTAAACAGGTTAGACCATTGTCGGAGCTCACCATTGCGAGTCAGCTTGGGAGTGGTTCGGGAATTCACCAGGTTCTCCATTTCCAGATGGATATCCTTTGTTTCTCCGCTATCATACAAATGGCGCACCTGGCCGAAAGTTGAAAGGTCGAAAAGGAACATCAAACCCCAAATAGCAAATCCCCACTGAAAAGAAGCAAACTGGTAAAGTCTATATATTTATTTTTACTTTCTGGCAGTGCTGGGAGTTGGGGTCAGGGTCTTGTGTGGCTACACAGAGCTATATGCCCATGGTAAAGCTTAGATAGAATCTACATGATGACCTTAGCGCTTTAGTGGACTGGGGTTTTGACACACAAAACTTAAACGTAAGCAGCTGTGCTGAAAAAGTAAGCAGCTGGCTTTAACAGTCCCTCTGACCAGACGCTGCCCACCTTCAACATATTTATAAACACTGCTCAGACACACAGAGAAGCCTGGAGACATCAGGCAGAAGGTAAAGAAGAGAGCCCTCTAGAATGCAGACAAACGTGGGAAGGAGGCTGCTTCCTGATGCGTCTTACTCCCTGGGACTGCTATGCTCTGGTGGATGTCATAGGAAAGGCGGCTGTGCAGATTCTAAAGGAGTCAGGACAGAATCTAGTCTAACACTATCGACAATGCTTCTGCTCACAGACAGCACCTTAACCTTTCTCGAGAACAATCGCGTCTGCCTGACGATGACGCTGTGTGTAGGCAGGTTACCAACTACACTCCGCAGGTGCAGAGCTGAGGCTCTGAGGAAGCCAAACAACCTGGCTGAGTCTCAGCTGATGGGTGGTGAGCCATCAGTGACGTCATCCTTCCCGACCACGGAACCAGTCGGGGCCTTTGCCCTGCTCTGCGTGGTCTGGATTAGAAGGTGTAGGGTGAAGTTCTAGGTCTTTCGTTTTTGTCACTTCTGATCTTCTACAAGTCATTAAAATGACTCTACTTAGCCAGACATGGTGACTCGCACCCGACCATAACTCCAGCACCCAAGAAGCTGATCCAAGAGGATCATCGTGAGTTCAAAGCCAGCCTGAGCTATGTAGTTAAGTCCAGGTGTGCTTGGCTTACAGCACATTCAAGTCTCCCCACTCTCACCCCAAATGCAGAACAACCGACCAACAAATAAAAAAAAAAAAAGATGGAAGGATGACTCTCTGTGGCCCAGCTGCTGAATGTGGTAATGGGAAATAATATCTACTTTCAACAACACAGAGATGTCAACTTGGATTACTTAAAGTGTGTGCTGTATAATAACAAACATAGCTACACACATTCCTGTTGGAATATATACTGTATAATAACATACATAGTTGTACATATTTCTGTTGGAATATATACTGTATAATAAGATACACAGTTATACACATTCCTGTTGGAATTGTGCTGCATAATAACATACACATTCCTGTTGGAATGTGTGCTGTATAATAAGATAGACAGTTATACACATTCCTGTCTTGTCAACTGACCAGAGTTATGAGCATCTAGAACACGGGTCGAGGAGTACATAACTGACAAGAAGGCTCTTACCTGGCTTGGCCGGAGGAAGTTGATATTAATATTGGGATACCTAGTGACAGGGTCGATGCTATACTGGCTGAAGTTTTTGCTCACGTTCTCAGGGGTGGTCTGAGGCAGCAACCTATAAATGCTTTCCCTGCAATGACATACAACACTGTGCTCACACGCGGGGACGAGGAACAAATTACCCCACAGATTAGCAGTCATCCTGATGAATCTAGCTAGTTAAATCAATCTCAGCTCTTCCCTGCACACCCAGCGCTCAGTGACTCCATGGACCTGGATCAGGGAAAAGGAAGCGCAGGGACAATTCTGTCGGAGGTGGCAAATGGCGCTAATTTAGAAGGCTATTGTGTAGTGTGCTGATATTTCCTATGGTTTTTAAGAAATTGAAAAGGATCCTATGGCTAGCTAGTGTGGGGTTAGTGAAATGCATAGTGTGTCTTGTCCTGAGTCCTATCCCCTCAGTCACCTTTTTTGAACCATCCCCCTCAGTAGCAGAACATTTCATCTAAAGGATGAAGGATACTTCCAAAACATCTCTGTTAGCAGAGGTTACTTCCTCAAAGGTCACCTGCTGGAAGTCCGGTCCCCAGCAGGGAGGTAGTGAGGTGGTAGGCGTGGTAGCTCACACCTACAATTCTAGCACTCAGACAGGGGAATGCGTTGAGTTCAGGTCAGCTGGGACTGTGGAGTGAGTACTAAGCCACCCTGGGGTACAGAGGGAGACTCTTATTTCAAAACACAAAAACAAAGGAAAAATGAGCTTTGCTGTTACATCCAGATGCATGCCTTACATTAACTATCTAAAATGACAGACGGTGCTGGCTGGTTTTTATGTCAACTCGACACAAGCTAGAGTCATCTTAGAGTAGTGAATCTCAATTAAACAAATGCCTCTAATAAGATCAGGCTGGGCGTGATTGATGTGGGAGGACCCAGCCCGTGGTGGAGCCATCTGGGCTGGTGGTTCTGTAAGAAAGCAGGCCAAGCAAACGAGGAGTAAGCCAGGAAGCAGCACCCCTCCATGGCCTCGGCCTCAACTCCTGCCTCCAGGCTTCTGCCCTGCTTTAAGTTCCTCTTCTGACTTTGATGATGATCAGTAATGAGGAAGTGTAAGCCAAATAAACCCTGTCCTCCCCAAGATCACTGGTCACAGTGTTACCACAGTAACGCAGGCAGAAGTTAGGACCAGGAGTGGGGAATGGCTGTTACTGGCCTGACTATGCAGGTTTTGGGGGAAGCATGGAAGACTGGTTCTCTGGACTAGAAAAGCAGCCGAGCGCTGTAAGCAGTTTAACGGCCCATTCTAGCAGGAGCTTAGAGGACAATTACACATAGTGCAATGTGGATTGCCGCAGCCCAGCTCAAGAGGTTTCAGAAGGGAACAATATTCTCAACTGGGTTAAAAGCCATTTTTTTTTTCTTTTTGTGTCCTGCAGTTCACATTAATTCTTGCAGCTAGTTGTATTCTTCATCAACTCCTGATCCACTGCTAAAAGTCATAAAAGCCATTCTTGTAATATTTTGGAAAGAAAGAAAATGAAAGAAAGGTAATCCTAAGAATGTGCCTGAGGCTAAATTGAAGAGTTCTATACTAATATTATTGGTAAAAGAGATTTCAAGATAGCCTACTATTAACTCTCATGTGGTTATTAGTAACCAGTCTTTTTTTTTTTTTTTTTTTGAGACAGGGTTTCTCTGTAACTTTGGTGCCTGTCTTGGAACTAGCTCTTGTAGACCAGGCTGGCCTCGAACTCACAGAGATCCGCCTGCCTCTGCCTCCCGAGTGCCCGGCTTAGTAACCATTCTTATGCAGGTCTACAATGAAAGAGAACAACAGGGCAAAAGAAATCCAAGACGTACAGTCTGAGCAGACAAGGAGCACAAGGAAATTTAACCAAGTTCTTGGCACCAAGAACTGTGCTAAAAGAGATAAAGAGAGACCTGGTACAAAATGGTAAAAAGGGAGTGGTCCCCTCAAGGCAAGGTTCCACCCAGCTAGCCCTGCACCTAAGGAAAGGAAAATGCCTAAGGAATCTTCTGCTCCTAAAAGGAAACAAGTCAAAGTTTATGCAAATGTAATGGAGGGAGGAGCCAGGCTCCATCCCAAGTGGGCAGCCACACTTGGAAATACCAGCTGCAAAGTTTAGGGTTAGGCTCTAAAGTTTAGAGTCAGGAAGGATGCTTGAGTAAAGGTGTTGTGGGATCTTCCTCTTAGGTTAAGAAGAGCTGTTGAGGCCTGGCTACGGCAGGGGAGTGCCTGCAAGGAGGCCCTGATGGGCCATGTGAAGCTGTAAAAGCGAAGCCTGGACTATGCTGGAGATCTCAGAGCCTTGGGCGGTCTTCCAGGGAGAGTGGCACACAGGGAGTGGAACCAGCCCAAGAGAACCCTTTGACATTAGATACAGACTCTGTCCTCATTATATCCCTGTTCAACCTGCTTTGAATGGTAATAGTAATGTATAGTCTGTGCCACTGTATGTTGGAAGTATGTAATTTGCTTTTTGATTTTATAGAGATTTACACTCAAGAGACTGCCTTCATCTCAGAAGAGACTGTGGACTTTTAAAAGTGCCGAGACTGTGGTTGCTATGGGGATTTCTGAAGTTGGACTAAATGAATTTTGCATTACAATATGGCCACAAGACTATGGGAGCTAGGGACTGAAATGTGGTGGTTTAAATGAGAAGGGTCCCCAAAGACTCATTTGTCTGAATACTTGGTCCCCAGTTGGTAGAACTGTTTGCGATGGCTTAGGAGGTGTGGCCTTGTTGAAGCGGGTGTTACTAGGAGTGGGCTTAGGGGTTTCAAAAACCCGTGCCATTCCCATTTAGCTCTCTCTTGGCTTCATGGCTCTGGATCAGATGTGAGCTCTCAGCTACTGCTCCAGCGCCATGCCTGCCTGCCTGGTGTCGTGCTCCCCACCATGGCCATCACGATAGCCTTCTGAAACTGTAAGCCCCCAAATAAACTTCTTCTTTTATAAGCTGCCTTGGTCATGATATTGTGTCACAGTAGAAAAGTAATAATATCAACTATCAGAGAATAATATCAATTATCAGTTTCATCCAGGAAATCTCACATTTCTGGTTCTCTTAGTCAGGGTAAACAGCAAGTAAATCCCAGTGTCCCCGCCTCATTTACAATCATCTGTTTCCAAACATCCGACATCCAGGGGTCCAAGAAATGTTTACAAGCATGCTGTAGTTTCCTCTTCAGCTAGTCACTTCCAACAGTGCTGACAGCATGTTCCCTCTGCAAGCATGTTTCCACTGTGAGCATGCTCCCACTGCAAGCACGTTCCCACTGCAAGCATGTTCCCTCTGCTAGCACGTTCCCACTGCGAGCATGTTCCCTCTGCTAGCATGCTCCTATTGTGAGCACATTCCCACTGCAAGCATGTACCCACCACGAGCACATTCCCACTGCAGGCATGTTCCCACTGAACTGAGAGTACATTTCCTGTGCTAGCACGTTCCCTCTGCGAGCAGGTTCCCACTATCACACTGGCCTATGGAGCATGGGTGCCAACATGCTGCTTCTGTGTGTTTGTTCATGTAATTATTAAAAAGGTGTCAGGACCAAGTCAGTGGTGCACAAAGAGGCAGACACCGTGTGCCAACAGTAGACGCTGTCTGAGCAGGGTTATGAGAAGAGCAGTATGGGCAGATGACCGAGGTTTCTGTGATTTTACACAACAGTGCCTTCCTTGCCTTTCTCTACTTAGACAAGAAACCATCTTTAAAAAGAACAACTGAAAAAGAGGGAGGAAGAACTTGCACACGGCTGAGGAGCAAGCAGGTCGACTCCCCAGTCCTAAAGGAGGCACCCATGGCTTCTTCCCATTACCTCTCTGCCAGGACTTCCAAGGGGCTGGTGCCCAGAGACCAGCTTCGTACCATCCAGGCAGAATCCATAGCAGCCAGAAAGCCCCGGGCTATTCCTGTTCCCATTGGCCAGAAAGGCTGCAAAGGAGAAATACACAGAGTTGAAGTAACGCACTATTAACAGAGGAAAGTGCCCCAGGCATCCACCATCAATGTTCTCATAAGGGAGTCTCTGCTCACCCACGACCTGAACACCTGGACTCACTCATTATCTCCCCTTTACCACTGCCTCTACCACTTGGTTCTCTGCCCCTTTCAGTACTCACCTCCAGGAGGCTGTCCCCAACCAGAGCTACTAGTAACTGGTGTCCATTTTGTTCCCGTACCAAGGCAGCGTTTTCAGAGGCGTACATACAGGTAAAGTCAAACATGGCCACATCAGGTTGCCCGTAGTGATTGATGGCAAAATCCAGAGAAGGCAGTTGCTGCTGGGTAGAGAAGTCTGCAGCCTCCCGGGCATAGTTTAGCAGGGCCTCCTGGTCCACATTCTCCCGGGAAAGTAACAGCTCTGTGTCTGTGTAGTCCTGTCCAGGAAGAGGTCAAAAGAGGTCAAGTTGGAGCAGCCCAAGCAGGGATGCCTGGCCAGCCAACACCCCACAGTGCGTATCAGACATGACCTGGTCTCATGGCGTTTTTCTCCCTAAGATGTTTTTTTTTTGGTTTTTCGAGACAGGGTTTCTCTGTGGTTTTGGAGCCTGTCCTGGAACTAGCTCTTGTGGACCAGGCTGGTCTCGAACTCACAGAGATCTGCCTGCCTCTGCCTCCCGAGTGCTGGGATTAAAGGCGTGCGCCACCACCGCCCGGCTCCCTAAGATGTTTTAAGATTCCTAAACCAAATCTTTTTACACCAGTTAAAAAGAACAGGGATGGGGGAGGGGTCTTAGTTAAGGGTGAATCAGTTTTGCTGCCTAAGAGACCTGGCTCTCCCATTCACTAGCGGCAAAGCTCATCCACCTCAGAGTTGCTACAGTTATCAAGTAAAATAGCCGCATAACAGCACCTTGTAAAATGAAAGGCATTTTAAAATTTACGGTTTTCTTATCATCACTTTATTCTGGGTGTCTGGTGGCTTTTGGAGGCAAGAAATTCAGAGTTATTACACCTAAAGGAAATCTGAAAACTTCAGTGCAAAGAGAAGCACGGTGTGGAGCGAGAAGTGGTTCAGGACGATGAGAAGGAAACGCTGAAAATGAACCAGAGGTTTCTAAGCCACACTGAAGGACTCTGCAAGGCTCCAGAAAAACCCATCAACACACAAAAGGACAAAAGGGACTTTCTATGTAGAGAACCGAGAGACCCTTCCTCTGTTTTGGAGGTTCCTGTGCATTGAATCAAGTCTTCTCCCCTAAAGTGGGGCCTGTGGGTTCCAAGTGCACCTAACGGTACTCAGTTACAACATAGGTTTTCAAAAGCCAAAACACGAACACTTATGTCAGTCCTGGAAGTACTGTCTGTTCAATGTTAAGAGGCCACAGTGGCTTTAGTATTTAGCAGCTTGAACTCGCTTACATGACAAAAATACAGGGGCAAAGCAAATTGGGCCTCAGCATTTCAGACTGTCCTTATTCAGTGCGAAGTGATGACCCAGATCAGCATGGACGGTTGGTTTGAGTCGTGACTCTGTCCTCGGGCATCCCAACCGCTATATAACAGCAACAGAAGAGCCCCAGATAATGACCGACCAGTTTTACACAGCATCCAGCAAACATGCCTTTTGTTTGGCAGGGAACTCTGTACCAAGCAAGGGCTTTGTCTTGCGGGTCCCAAGGCAGCACAGGGCTGCTATGCTGAGATGCAGACATGAGGTGGAAAGGAGACTTTGTGTAGCAAGCACGTGCTCGTCAGCTCACTCCCCAGTCTGCTGTAGAGAAAGCAACAGTGTGACTCATTCTAAGGAGCCTGGTGTGTCACCGTCCTGCAGACACAAAGAGCTCCCTAAGAGTCAGCTGAGACTGGTGGGAACTGCATGGGGTTAAGTCAGTGCAAGCGAGACTTCTATCCATTCATCACACGGAACAGCAATTCCCGCATCCAGATCTGCGAGGCCATGTGAGACACTAGCTACGCTCTTTAAAGAACCATCCTGCCTGGGATTTAGATTTCAGGCCGTCAGCTCAGGGTATATCATACAATTAGTCACCCAGAAAAAGGGCTGAGCTGGAACTAAGGTTAGACACCAGGCTTCTGCTGTTAGTTAGAAAGATCCCTAGATACCCCGATCTGGTCAGGTCAGTGTTTGCGGTAAAACTTGGGTCACTGTCAGGCTACTATAAATACCAAGGGCTGTTTCTTGGTTCAGCACTTGCCATCCTGCCCCGAAAAGAGGACCCTCTAATGTGGGTCCTGGTGGTGCAGGCATTTAATCTCAGCTACTCAGAGGCTAAGGGAGGATGAATAGACTTTAAGGTTTGCATGGGGCTATCAAGGCCAGCCTGAGCCACTTAGCAAGAACACCTCTCAAAGGAAATAGTTCCCTGGAAGAAAGTCAAGGGATGCAGCTCGGTGGCAGAGTTCTTGCCTAGCATGCACAAGGCCCTCGGTTAGTCCCCATTACCGTGGTTGGGAAATTAGTAGGTGTGGGAGGGTGTATAGATCAACAATTGTCATGTATGGAATTCACTATTGCTATAAATCAGGTCATCTAAAGTTAAACTGGCTAATTATGCAGGATGTGATATTTGACGGTGGATCTAAAACGGTCAAGGAGCAGGAGAGGTGAGAGAGGAAGGGGCTGGGTTTATTGAACCAATCTGACCAGGTCAGTAACTGTTAAAGCTAACCCTAAGCATGGCCGCACAGGCCCATCCTACCCTCCTCCTGTTTATAGTTTCAATTTTCCATACTAAACATATTTTTAAGTTCAACTAATCAATAGCAGGGGTTCCCAGATGTGTTTTATGCCACTTCTCTTCCCTTATAGGAAAAACCCAACAGACTAAAATTCTTAGTGATCACTTCAAGCAGCTCAACAAAGATGTCGCCTGGAGGGAACCCATGGCTCACATGCAGTATCACCCCTTTGTCCAGCAAGCTCTGCTTTTTGGCCGTCATAACGAAGTAGTGTGTGTCATCTTTGTAGTAGACGATGTTCTCCAAATCAATGCCTGCAATGAGAAGATGCGTGTGAGATTTCATGGAGTCCGGAACTGCAGGGAACCCACAAGGCTGGACTTGGGGCTCACAGAGAGTGTGGAGAGCACCAGGCAGGAGAGCTGCCTGGGTGCAGATCCTCACTTCCTGCACAGCGCATGGAAATCGTGAGGTCTGTTTTCTTCTGTGCTGCCCTATAACTCACTTAGTAGCCTAGGTTATCCTAAAAACAATGCCCGATCGTAAACAAAACGTGACAATGGAAAAAGCAAAGCCGAGGAGAGGCTAATCTACAAGAGGGGATGGGTTATGTACTAGGTAAAGCCTCTTTGATAATCACCAAGGAAGCTGGAGGCATCTCCTAGATTTTTAACAGGATAGATATCTAAATGCAGAGAGAGAGATATTGAATTTTTTATTCAGTTAACCTGCAAGATACATGGAATGGAAAGAAACCAAGCTCTAGAAAACAGAATGAAGAAACTTTTTTTGGTTCAAGGCAGCAGAATATCTAACTCACTCCATCAGAAAACAGCCACCCACAATCCCAATGGCTACAGGTGAGTTCAGATGACTTCAGAGAAGGCTAACAGCGATAGCAAAGGCCACGGTGTCAACAACCCAGCACTGCCAGTGGGTAGCCTGCTCTTCCGGCAGAGAGGCTGGCTCACAGGGCGGGGGAAGGAGCTGGGGATGAGCTGACACAAGGCAAAACCAACAACAAACCCCAGGGCGGCCTGGTCACTGAGGATGGCACAGGAAGGCAACAGCGTGGAAACAGGGTAAGGACAAAGGAGGAGAGTGACAAACGAACAGAGGACAAAGGACATCCATGGCTACCCAATCCAACAACCACTGCGCTCTGGAGGCGCTGACACCAACCTGTGGCTTCTCTCAGCTCCTGGAAAAATTTTTGGTTGAATATAAAAGCAACACCACTGATCTCCTCTACTTTGGCCTCTGCGGTTGTGTTTCGGTTAATAAAATTTGCCGTGATGGCAATGGCTAGCTTGCCACGGAATTCTTTCCGACGAAATCCTAGAGGGAAAGAGAGCAGGGATAAGGACTTCAAATCAGAGACTATGGAAGGGAAACTCACCTAACAGGGATGGAACAACTCAAGAAAGAAGTCCCCGTGCACATCATGGACAACATGAAATCCGTCTGACCAGATTACTGCTCAGTACTAATGGTCACCCTTAAAATGGAGGGGTGCTGTGTGCGTGACACATTCATGCACAGACTAAAAGCTATGGTGCCAACATCTCTAAGGGCAGCTTGTCCCCTGGTGCTCTGTGGGAAACGCCCCAAGCAGGCACTGACTGGGCAGCACACGTGCAAATCTTAGGGCTGTGGTCTCTGGGGACAGGACAGCCTCCAACGTGTGACAGCCCAGGCAAGGGAGAACAGTCCAAAGCCAGTACCTTCCAGGGTGTTCCTACGCCCATCCCCACCGATGATCACTTCAAATTCATATTCTGATACAGGATGAGTTTTGGGGTGCACCAATGCTCGCCATCCTATCCCTGTGGACCAAAAGCAAAATGAAGGCCACAACCTGGATGAAACCACACCCAGACACACAGATCACACGGCGTTCCAATCCAAAGTATGACACGTAACAGAACAAGGGCCAGCCTCACACAGAGTTTTGACAAGAGCTCACACAGACACTTTTTCTACCTTTTCATTTTCTATAATACAAAAGCCTGCCACGCCTAAGACCGTGCCAAAGGCCTCTTGGGTAAGCCAAAAGTTCTCAAAAGCCCAGGCTGCATGAACAAAGCCCCTTTAGTCAGGGCTAAAAACCACCTGCAAGCCCTTCTGGCTCCTCCCATGATCTCATCTGTTCTCACCCACTCAGGGCCCTCATGCCTTCCTCTGTCCGACTCACGTTCATTCTCTTGGTCCTCAGGAGGCTGAACGAGTCCTTGGAATTCCACATTGACATGGATTTCAATGCCTAAGATCAAGGCAACTTTCAGGAGGATTAGCTGGAGCTGACGGATACCTAGAAGAACACAAGACCTTGATGGCAAGGGGACAGGAAGGGGAGGGCCTCCTGGTGCCTCCCCTCCATCCATGTCTGCGTACGTTCCCAAGGGCTGGCGCAGCAGACAAGTCTCACAAGTTCTCTTCCTTCATGTTATAAAGATAACATCAAACCGTGGAAGGAACGTTCTGGATATATTAGGCCACCCCATTTATGGAGCCGGATATTCCAAATAACCTAACACAATGGCACAGGGGGTCAGCGAGAGCTACCGCTTCCAGGAGCATCCAGAGTCTTCAGAGGTGTCTGCTTACTCAAGCACAGGAGAGGCCAGCGCACGGTGCACAGGGAAGATACCACATGCCTTCCACTCTAACCCCCTGCTGACCTCCGATTCACAAAAGAAACTACAACCCCATCCTATCTCTTACTGTTTCCCACCACCGGAGACTTACGGTTGTGGAAACCGAGGTCCAAAAGGACTGAATCCTGCTCATGATCACAGTCATAAATGTATTTGATGCCTAATGAACTCCTACTAGATCTGGCCTCAATGACAGGTTATAGTGAGACAGAAATTCTATCCCTGGTCTAAGATACCTCAGCCCTAAATGAATCTGGCCACAGATAAGGACCACAAATCTAGGCGTCACCGACCCTAGGGCCTCTCTTAAGGCCAAATTTACCTGCAGCCTCTGACTAATGAGTTCCGAGCTCGTGCAAAGCCCAAGTCATCCAGGTCACTCTCAACTGACCACACCCTCACTCTTCTGACTCACACTCCCAAAGACTCCCTGGGACCCACGCTAGCACACTTTATTTTTGCAGACAACTGTGGGTTCCAAGACACTTAACAAATTATAGCCTGGCAGATGGGCCGAGCACTCGGTCTTGCCAGCGGAATGTGGCAGCCGCCAGCCAGTGTTGGATAAATTGGTATAACCACTTCAAACGGCGAAAGGTCTAAGGGCTGAATGTGTTTCCAGGTCACATATGGAGGCGCTCAGAACAAGTGCTCCTTACTAACATCTCCCTAGACGAATCATCAGCAGGAAACAGACTGCGCTGCAGCTTGATGATGCGGACACCGCTCTGGACCGCTTTCAGATACCCCGCTTCGTGAAAACATGGCTGTCCTAAGAAAAATACAAGGCTCTGACTTTACCAGAATACAGACTCTCAGGGGCAGACTTGGCATTTGTGACTAAGCTATGACTCTTCCTTCTCTGTGTGTGGTTTCCCACACCTGTGTCCCCAGGGTGCTGTTTTCCTGCATTAATAGAGGGTATGCATGATCACAACAATGATCACAACACACAACCCAAGCCTGTGGACTCCCTTCCGCTAAACTACGAACCACCAGAGGGCTGGAATCCAAACTGTCCACCTTATTCCAATGCAAGGGTACATCCTGGCTGAGGAGGAATTCCTCAGGTAACCTACCTGCCTGTCTACTGAACATGGAAACAAGAGGAGTTGGCGGTACTCACTGATGTGATCGATGGCTCCAGCACAGAACTTGCCGTAGAATTTCTTGGCACCCAGACCTCGAAGATCATGTATGGTGAAGGGCCAGAGATGCAAGACATTGTTTCGGGAGAAGGCGTCTCTCTTCTCAATAACGACCACTTTGGCTCCCAATAAGGACAAGTCGATGGCTGTTCGGAGACCACAGGGGCCAGCTCCAATGATGAGACACTGGAAAATACAGGTGCTTTCAGGGCAGAGGCCACGCCTCTCAAAACACACTTCTGGTAATTATCACTCCAGGGCCATACTCCACGACTGAGACACCTGAAGCCTAGGACAGCAAAGCCCTTGCAGTGGCTTGAAGGAAGAGTTCATGATTCCTGTGTACACAGAAGACTGAAACCCGACCATGTCTACCTCGAACAGCCTAAAGGACCCACAGATCGGAAAGACTTAAGCGGACCATCATCTCAACAGTATGAAAATCACATCTTGTCTTTCATCAAAACAGAACCTTTAGGAAGTTTCTATGTCATAGGCAGGTTGCTGTTTAAATATAAGATTATTAGCAACACTCAGGCAATTGAGCCTGGGTATACCATGCACATGCTTCTCAGGGGGTAACTTTTAAGACCCAAAAGTTCATGTATGGAAATTTTTTTTTTTTTTTTAAAGACAGGGTTTCTCTGTGGCTTTGGAGCCTGTCCTGGAACTAGCTCTGTAGACCAGGCTGGTCTCGAACTCACAGAGATCCACCTGCCTCTGCCTCCCGAGTGCTGGGATTAAAGGCGTGCGCCACCATCGCCCGGCTTGTTTTTTGTTTTTAAGTATTTTTTATGTGTATAAGTGTGAGCCTGAGTGTGTATATGTGAACCGTGTATGTGAACCTGAGTGTGCGTATGTGAGCCTAAGTGTGTGTTTGTGAGCCTGAGCATATATGTGTGATCCTGACTGTGTGCATATGAGCCCAAGTGTGTGTACGTGAGTCTGAGTGTATGTGTGTATACTACCTGTTGAACTACTTCAGAAGAAGCACTGGATATCCTGGAATTGGAGCTTTGTTTTGTCTTGTTTCAAATTACATTTATTTTTGGGTGTGTGTGTATTGCAGGTGCCCTATGTGTATTGTAGGTGCCTGTGTGTGTACTGCAGATTTCCTGGAGCTATAGCTTTGAGCCACCTACTGTGGGTGCTGGGATCCCAACTCCAGTCCTCTGCAAAAAAAGCCAGTGCTCTTAACTGCTGAGCCATCTCTCTAGCTCCTGATATGAGTTTTAAAGTCATTTCTAGACTGGAAGTTTAGGGAAGTGCTTTTGTTAACCTACTGGGGCAGGACAGACCCTTAAGCAGCCTGCACTTCACACACAGAGGGAAGACACACAATGCTTTGACTTCATATTCTTTTTCTTCATTTTTGCAAGAGAGAGTGTGTGTGTGGTTTTTTTTTTTTTTTTTTTGTTGTTGTTTGTTTGTTTTTGAGAGGAGGAGATACTGAGGCCGGAACCCAGAGCCTGTGAAAACAAGTAGTCTATATCTGAGCTCCCCTTAGGCACTCATGAAAGCCATGCCTTCAAATCTTCAAATTTCTCCATGGGATGGGTCTCTAGGTATCTCATAAGGTAACTTAAAAGTCATGTAAAGCCAAATTATCAGCCCTGAAGCCACTGGAAATTTGCTGACTAACGTCGAGACCTCTCTCAGAGGGAGTTCTTCAAGAAGAAGGCAGGAACTGCCTCCATCCCTTTCACTTGCTCACACCTACCCTGACTCAGGCAAGCGCACATCCTCACTTCCTCACTCAGTGAGTGCATAGCTCAGGCTTCACCCAAGCCATTCTGTGGAGACTCTATCTTTCTACACCGTGAAGAGCAACAGAAATACTTCCATTCCAAGGTCCCTGTTTGTGAATTACAGTCAACCTTTGGGCTATGGACGGGAGGAAGCCTGACACTGTGACAAAGCCTACCTGGTGCTGATATGGAAAGGTGACTCTGGGAAAGGTGACAGGCCAGGAACCACGAAGTCACATTCAGACAGTGTACTCATAGGGGCCTGGCTACGGACCTGCATCCTTTGATGGTGTGAGGTTAGGGGGAGGGCTTTCCATCCACCTGCCCTCAAACTCTGAATGCCCAATAAGCAAATACATGGACTATGCTCAGAACAGGGTCTACAGGGTGGAAGTGGCAAATGAACACAGGTGACAAAATTTCAACAAAGTTTAACCCTTCAGCTAAGCCGAGGCCTGCTTTCCCCCACTCTCCTCATCTCAGTTTCTCATGGAAGCCAGGTGAAGCCCCTGTGCTGTGATCCCAGGCCCCAAGCACAGCCAGGTTTACCTTTGTGTTGGTGCAGGCTTTCCCCTTTTTGTAGTCTTTGTGACTGCCCCGCTTGTCCAATTTGGCCCAGAGGGCTTTGGCCTTCCAGTAGTTGAGCTTGGACTTGAGCTTGTGGTAGAAGGAGCGATAGTCCTTAGGCTTCAGTTCCAGGTGGTCACAGAGCTCTTGGAAGGCCCTGAGGGTTCCCTTGCAGGTAGTGGCCTGGACGAACCGGTCGAAGAGGACGTGCGCTTGGTTGGTTGTCTCCTGCTTCCTCTCCTCCATGCTCCCCTACTCTTGGCACAACCGCGGAGCGGGCAGTGGAATGGCTGCTGATCCACCTGGCACTGTCACCTTAGTCTAAAGGAAAACAAGGAAGAGAAAGAAAACAGTCAGCATCTCTGCGCCTGTGAGCATTTCGCTGGAGACACGTTCCTTCCCAAAGAGTGGTGACACTCGTGTCCTTGACAGATGTGCACTGAAACGTTCCAGGCCCCACACAGGGTGTTGGGGAGCTGACGGTCTAGCAGGCAACATGATCACAGAGACAGTGTTACAATGGGCTATTCAGGGACCACAGAGGCTTTCAGCCAGGCAAGGGGGGCATGCAAGACTGAGTGGGGAGGTCGCCCCCACTGTCCTGTGAGGGTTTCATACACAGCAATCAAGAGTGACTCCCAGTTTTCCAATGGAGGCCACTAGGAAACTAGGAAAGCACAGCAAGCCAAACAATTAAAACGGCACGCGCTCATTTGTGGGGATGGCTGGAGAGCTCACCGTCTTGAAGCACGGATGACCTTGAAGTTGACCGAGTAGCTGGTGGGGGAGACCAGAGTTACACCAATCTGACAGAGGCCAGCCGGACGACAAGCCCTCTTGAAAGAATTGGTACAGAGAGGGCTGTGGAAAGCCAAAGGACCATGTCGGAGATGGCTGAGAAGCAGGAGCCACAGCGGTCACTTGGCACGTAAGAATCGCCAAGCTTTCACCGCATGTCGTACAGCGGGGCACGTTTAGAGCCGGCACATTTTCCAATTCCGTATTTTAGACTAATAATGATGGGATCCATACCAAGGAATCATCAGAAATGGCGACCACCAGTCTCCCCATATGTGTGCAGACAAGAATCGGAACAGGCGGGAAACAGCAGCTTTACATACTTGTGCACCCACTCCTCCCCCCATCTCGTCTGTGCCGTGTTTAAGGAACCACTATTAAGAGGCATACAACAGGGAGTGCAGGGAGTCCCGCCCCAGCCTGGAGTCTGCACGTGACCCTCGGAAGTCCGTCTTCCTCCTGTGGCTTTAGTTCCCAGTTTGGAAGGTGAGAAGGAAGGACTGAGGAGCTGCTAACTCTCAGAGCCCCGACATCCTGAGCCAAATGCTAGGACGATTCTGACCGCAGCAATCTCACAGTGCTCCAGTCAGAACAGCTCAGTCACCTCTGGGATCAAGGAGACTGGGAGGAGCTTTGCCACGAAGAGGCTTTACTCTGGGATATCGGGAAGAACTGGACAGATGCACCGCACTTAATGCTGAGGGGCAAAGAGTTGCCCACGATCCAGTGGATGGACTCACACTGGTGGGAGCCCCCTGGCTGTTGGTGCTGATGGAACCAATTCTTGGAGACAGACCCAAATTCTACGACACCGGAGACCCTAAGACTGAGTGAAGCTGTTTCTCTGGGAAAATCACCAAGCAACAGAAGGCTCAAGGCAGTGGGGGATGTTCGTTTTTTCTACACGTGCTGCTAAAGCTTCATGGGATTAAATCAAAACCCCTGAGACACGTCTTGGGTTCCACAGGAGGAGGTGGGAGGTACAGAGATCAGCATTTCCCTCCTGCTTCCCAGGGGAGAGGCCAAACCCAGGAGTGCAAGCTGGGGATTCTTACCACACACACTGGCTTGGTTTTTTACCACAAAACCATGACGTGCTCAATGGCCCTCCTGGCTCTGGATACCACTCTGCTAATAACCATGGCTTGTCTTGATAGTCACGAGGCCAAGAGCACAGGATTTAAAAAGAAGAATGAGTATCTGGGGGTGTGGCTCAGTGGCAGAGCATTAGTGTGTAGAAGGTTCTGGTTCCACCCCCAGCCCCACAAGTAAAGAAGAGATACAAAGACAAATAAAAGAAATCCTGGAATCAATCAGAACCAACCTCCAGTCTCCCCTAAACCAAGGTTTATTTTAGGTCATGGCGGCAAGAAAATATTCTGAAGGCCATAAAGAGTCCACTCTTTTCTTACAAGCCCAGATTTACAAATGGTAGCCAGTCAAAAGACAGCTTGTAAGAGTAGAAAACTCCACACGTCTGTATGAGGCAGAAGAAAGGGTGGCAGGAACAATAGCCGACTGTGACCAGGTTTCAGAGCAGGCATTGCCTTGCCCCTCCCAACCCCAACTCCCATACCCTACCTGTGTTCACAGCCTCCTACCCCACCCGGCCTGATTACCCGTGCCAAGAAGGAACATGGCTTTTCTCTGTTCCTAACTGGCAGCCACTGGCTATCTCCTGCCAGGATTCAATGCACTCAGAACCATCTAGTTCTTGCTGAATCCAGTATGTTCAAGATTCTACACAACATATTTCTTCTTTTTCTTTCAAGATAGGATCTGTTTAACTCTGGCTGTCCTGGAACTCACTATGTAGATCAGGCTGGACTCAAACTCACAAAGATCCTCCTGCCTCTGCCTCTCAAATGCTAGGGTTAAAGGCGTGGACCACTACACCTGGCTCACACCATGTTCCTACAGCCTTTTCCCCAGCTGCAGCACTGCCTTGTGCTCACACTTGCCCTTGAAGAGCGTCTCGGATATTACTCTCCAAGGAACAGTTCTAGCCACCCGAGCTGACCTGACATCCCCCTGGTTGGGTACTACCTACTCAGAAGTAAATTCTCCCTTCCCCAGAGCTGCTGACCACCACAGGGCATTCCCGAATCCAATTCCACCACGGCCGGACACTTTCACTAACAACCACTGCAGCGCCTGTTTGAGTGCAGTCTCCGCTCTGGAGCAGCGGGCAAGTATTAGAGGTGTCCTGGCTAAGGGGTCATGACCCGCAGGGCACTAATGACACCGGGTAAACAGGTAGGCTGGTTCTCAGAACAATGCAGCAGGCACCCAGGGTAAGACTACCCGAGACAGAGTCCCTTGGGCTGCCTCCGCTTTCGAATCTGCAAGCCAGGTGAGCAGAGCAGGAAGCCAGCCCAGGGCGGCCGGCGCTGTCTGACCTACCTCGCACACCTACGCTGTGTGGCCCTGGGACTCCCTCACTCCTCCGAGCACTTGCCTGGCACTGTGACTCACACAGAATGGCCAGGAAGAATGGCAGAAGGGCCCATCCTGTTAAGCGTCACTTCCCCTGTGCTGAAGGTCAAAGCGGCATCATAGTCTTCCTGGCTTCTCCTCACCCAGTGTGCCATCCACCCGAGCATTCTGGGAAAATCAACACTCATCATCACAGGAACCTAGAGACCAGGAAACCTGGCCAGAAAGAGTCAGAGCTCCTGGGGACGGAAAGGCAGGCAGGAAGCAGCGAGGGAAGTGAGGAGCCTGAGGAGGAAGAAACAGCAAGGCCAGGTTTTCGGGTTTCAGGCACCTGTACAGTTCTACCAGCCGACAACACCCTGCATTTTGTCTCCCAGCAGCTGACTGCTGATCCAGCCGGTGACACATTCCTGGACTCTGGAGGAGAGCGCTGGGCAGACAGGCCTGGAAGAGCACAGGGAACAGCCCTGGGCTTTTCATTCACGTAGGAAAGGTTGCCCTGACTCCCAGCTCTTAGAACAGATGGTAGGGAGGGGTGAGGGAGAGATATGATTTGTAAAAATAGAAAAAGGAAAAAAACGCAGAAGAGAATAGAGGCCCACTCCATGCACTTGTGCTAGCAGGGAGATGGAGACAGGAGGGTCAGGAGTTCAAAGCCAGCCTGGACCGGCTACAGTGAAACAGAACCACAAATGTGTGTCATCAGGCCTGGCTCGGTCACTGAAGCTCTGTAATAATTTCTGACATCAGGAAACACGAATCCCAAGCTTTATACTTCAAATATTGTTTTGGATATTCAGGGCTCCCTAGGAATTTGGTAAGAATTTTAGGTTTTTGTTTGTATCTGAATGATGCTGACTTCTTGAATTTTTCAACACAAGAATGTGGAATGTATTCTCACTTATGTTTATTCTCGTTCAGTAATGTTTTGGAATTTGCTGTATACGGCATTTACTTTCTTGGTTAATTCTCGAGGATTTCATTTCATTCTCTTTTTTCCTAAGATTTATTTATTATTATGTACAGTATTCTGTCTGCATGTATGCCTGCACACCAGATCTCATTACAGATGGTTGTCAGCCACCATGTGGGTGCTAGGAATTGAACTCAGGACCTCTGGAAGAGCAGCCAGTGCTCTTAACCTCTGAGCCATCTCTCCAGCCCCAAGTATTTCGTTCTTTCTGAAACTACTGTAGATGGAACTGCTTTTGTAATTTCTGTAGATCATTCCTGGTAGGACACAGAGATGCAGCTGACCTGGGCAGGCTGACTTTCCTGAGTCCTTCATTAGTTCTCCTGGGATTTGTGGATGGACTCTCTGGGGTTTCCAAAGCATAAGCTACTACCTACCAACAGCTATGATATCATCTTTTCAGTGTGGGCGCCTTTTCTTGCCAAACTGATCTAACTAACTTCTAACATTACACCAACAGAAGCAGTGGGGGTGAGTGGCTGAGCCTGGATCCTGACTTTAGCAGCAAGGGCTTTCGGTCTTCACTAGCGAGCACTGTTTTCTGTGTCTTCTCTAGTGATCGTGGCATGTACTGCCTTCAGTAGTGATCAAGGTGTGTACTGTGTCTTCAGTAGTGAGCAAGGTGTGTACTGTGTCCTCACTAGTGATCAAGGTGTGTACTGTGTCTTCAGTAGTGATCAAGGTGTGTACTGTGTCCTCACTAGTGATCAAGGTGTGTCTTCAGTAGTGAGCAAAATGTGTATTGTGTCTTCAAGAGTAAGCATGGTGTGTACTGTGTCCTCACTAGTGCACATAGCGTGTCCTCACTAGTGGGCACGGTGAGAATGTGTTTCCTGTATCTTCTCTATTATGCATGGTATTTACTGTGAGTTTTTCCATATATGTCTTCTTTGAAGTTGAGGTAGCTTTAGTTAAGTGTTTTAATAGAGACGCCAATTCACACCTATTTGATTCTGAATGTGTTCTATCCCTACGATCTTTTCTGACTTTCCATACTGCTTAGCATCAAATTCACATCCAACGGAACTGTGAAGAAACACGGATCCAGTATTGCCCCCGTGGTGCCCATCCCCCTCTGTGCATCCTGTTCACACTGTTGTAGCCTTCATATGCC